AGAAAGAGTGTCTAGCAAAGAGTGTCAAGAGAGAGTGTCAAGCAAGAGTGTCCAGCAAGAGTGTCTAGCAGAGTGTCAAGCAAGAGTGTCCAGCAAGAGTGTCAAGCAAGAGTGTCAAGAGAATGTGTCAAGAAAGATTGTCTAGCAAAGAGTGTCAAGAAAGAGTGTCAAGCAAGAGTGTCGTATCAAGAGTGTCCAGCAAGAGTGTGAAGCAAGAGTGTCCAGCAAGAGTGTCAAGCAAGATTGTCAAGAACAAGTGTCAAGAAAGAGTGTCTAGCAAAGAGGGTCAAGAAAGAGTGTCTAGCAAGAGTGTCAAGCAAGAGTGTCCTGTCAAGAGTGTCCAGCAAGAGTGTCTAGCAGAGTGTCAAGCAAAGAGTCGCAAGAAAGCAAAGAGTGTCAAGAAAGAGTGTCACGCAAGAGTGTCCAGCAAGAATGTCTAGCAAAGAGTGTCCAGCAAGAGTGCCCAGCAAACGTGTCAAGGAAGAGTGTCTAGCAAAGAGTGCCCAGCAAACGTGTCAAGCAAGTGTGGCAAGCAAGAGTGTCTAGCAAAGAGGGTCAAGATAGAGTGTCTAGCAAAGAGTGTCAAGAAAGAGTGTCAAGCAAGAGTGGCCAGCAAGAATGTCTAGCAAAGAGTGTCCAGCAAGAGTGTCAAGAACAAGTGTCAAGAAAGATTGTCTAGCAAAGAGTGTCAAGAAAGAGTGTCAAGCAAGAGTGGCCAGCAAGAATGTCTAGCAAAGAGTGTCAGGCAAGAGTGTCAAGAAAGAGTGTCAAGAAAGATTGTCTAGCAAAGAGTGTCAAGAGAGAGTGTCAAGCAAGAGTGTCCAGCAAGAGTGTCTAACTGAGTGTCAAGCAAGAGTGTCCAGCAAGAGTGTCAAGAACAAGTGTCAAGAAAGATTGTCTAGCAAAGAGTGTCAAGAACGAGTTTCAAGCAAGACTGCTTAGCAAGAGAAAGTCTCTTGGAAAATGCTCGTTTTTGGAAACTTTGATTGTCGCTTCTGGGGAAAGTCTCGTGAAACATGCTTGCTGCAGCTTTTGATGCGCTGGCGCTCCTTCTGCTGATGACTTTGCGAGTCATCCAAAGAAAAGGTTTTGATTGATACACTTTTGTGCCTTTGCATTCTCCTCTATACATGAGTGACTGCATTCGGGTTCGTGGGTTCTATCAGGTTTCTTCCGTACCCAGTGCGTGCCTGCTTTCGTGCGTATCAGAGGAGTGGCAATGGGAGCTTGGACGTGAGGTCGGGAACTCAAGCCCCGCACAGTCTTTGCCTTTACGGTCTGTTCCACATGTAAGTCAGTCCAACACTGCCTCATCGACTGTCCTAAGCTCGCTAAATCCTTTAGCGACGATCTATTTGCAAGACACCAAGCAAAACGCAAAAAGTCAAAAAGTATCAAAAAATGATAAAAATCAAAAAGGTAAAGGACACAAAAGCACGCAGCGAGACTTTTCGACTTTTCGAGATTTTTTGACTTTTCGACTTTTCTCACGTTTCGAGACTTTTTGACTTTTCGAGACTTTTTGACTTTTCGACTTTTCTCACTTTTCGAGACTTTTTGACTTTTCGACTTTTCGAGATTTTTGGACACCAGTCACATGCCGTGCCCTTCAACAAAAGTCTAGCAGAATTGATCCAAACGTTGCTTTTGCTCCTACAGATATAGGTATAGGTTGCTGTTTTCCAGACATCTCCAGCCGTGTCAAAGTGAGTCAGCCTCGAGCAGGAACGCCTTCAAAACAGAGACGCTTGCCAAAAGGACCTGGCAAGCCCCAGGACCTTTTGGCGGGTGACACTTTTTATCAGCGTTGCCTTTTCGTGCACTTTTCGACTTTTCGCGACTTTTCGACCTTTCGCAAAAAGTTCGGAAAGCAAGTAGATCCAGCTCACACGTGCCTGACGGCCTCATCTTGTTTTTGCATCGACTGACTGTAGCATCTGTAGCTGCTGGGCTCGGATCTCTTTTCTGCGAGGCCAAACATTTGGACAAGGAAATTGCAAAGATTCAGAAAGATGAGGCCTGCCTTCGGTGATCTTTGGGTGTGTTTCAGCTGATTTATCGGAGAGAAGAGAGATCGGAGATGCACAGTCTCAAATCAATTGAAGCATCGGAGATGCACCTGCCACCCGCTTTCCTATGATGGCAAGAAATACGGCTTTCAAATGTTTCAAGGAGCACCTCAATGTTGTTTAGCAGGCACGTGCATAACGGTGTTCTACGTATCTTTTGAGCTATCTTCGAGCATGCAGCTCTTCAGAAAGTCTTTTTTTTTTTCCGCTTTATTCGTTGGGAACCCAGCTTTCCAAGGCGAAGTTGCAGGAGCAGATTCGTGCACAGGAGCGGACCTTCACAGTCTGACCAATCGCTCGAAGCTGCATCGAGTTCAGGCTCAGAAGGGCAATGTTGACGCAGTGCAGCTTCTCGCCAAGTCGAAAGCCGAGCGAAGCACCTGAATCGTCCAGTTGCTTCAGTCCGAAGCTGAAGCCGCTGAGGTCAGTGGTGAAAACGCGAAAAGCGGTGCAAAGGCTTGAGAAGACCAAGGTAGGGTTCTTCGGAAGGACAAACCATGGATTCGTTTTCTTCATCTTCGCAACTCGCCCCGCTTGGCACTCTTTCGAGTTGGAGAGTCGAATCGTGAATCCTTCCGACAACACAAAGTGCTTTTGGGCAAGAAGTGAGGGTTAGCTTCTTGCTCCTAGTGGCAATGCCAGGAGCCCCTAGTAGCGTTCTTGTTCCTAGTAGAAATGCCCCTTTCCTCCAGCGCCTCCAGTATCTCCAGGCTTCCATGGAAGCCGTCAAGTTGCAGCTCACCACGCACATGGCCTCCATCAGCACCTCCCAATCGATCCGTCTCTCTGCGTCGCTGGGCAAATCGAAGGTGGTTGAGCTAGTCATCCTTCATCTCTGCAGTTTTGTGGAGAAATGTAGGTTGGAGGCCATCGGCCATTGCTATTAGGTTGGATTAGGTTGGAGGCCATCGCTTCTAGGTGGGAGGCCATCGACTCTAGGTTGGAGGACATGTGGAGTTTAGAGGTGGCACCATGTGCCAGCATGTCATCTCAAGAGACACATTCAAACCTTGTGCATTGCCTGAGAAGTCGCATGCTAAACAACCACATTTGATGACCTTGACAGTGATGTACCGAGGGACATCATGAAGAAGATGAATGCAATTGCTCGAATTCCAGAGGTTAGTGAGACAATGAAGGAGTGGGGGGAGACACTGAGTGCTCACACTTCATTCAGCTGCTCATCCATTTGGATTGTGAAGAAAAAAGTGCAATGTGAGTGAAAAGTGATAAGCTCCTCCACGTGAGTGCCATGTGGATGTGAGGACATGCGAGAGCAAATGGAAAAGTGTGCTGATGCCGAGGAGAGGGGACTACTGATGGCTGAATGGTCACTTGATGTCACTTGGTTTTCTCTGTTTCGCTTCCAGGAGAGCATTGAAGAAGCTCTCAGAGAGGATGGCGAAGAGAGCGAGGCAATCCACAGTTGGAAAAGAGGGCACATGTGTCTCCTCGGTTGGAGCCCTCCCTGGCTCCATGGACTCATATGGACTCCATGGTTGTGAAATCATGTTTCAATGCCCTCGGCCTCGATCTTCCCAAACATATCCCTTGAAGAACATGGAGATAGGGGATCAGCCATGCACTTCTGAGAAGTTGGCATCTGGTTTTCCAGTCTCTTCAGGCAGCTGTCGAAGTGCAGAAGGTTCTGGAGGATGGGCGACGACCGTCGGTCGACAGTCCTGTCGTTTCTCAAAAAACGATCTCGAGACGACCGGGGTAGCTGAAGACGCTGTTTGGACACGTGGAGAAAGTCACAAAATCATCCAAACATCCATAAAACTTTCAAGACATCCATCATCCTGAGAGGAAATGGCCCTAGATCAGCTGGGGCCACTGGCGCAAGGGCATGCAGTGGCAGAGCCGGCCAAGGAGAGACACCGCAAAAGCTACCACTGGGTGCTTAGCTGGAAGTTTGCGGGACCTAGACCTTGAGCATTTCAACTAAAAGATACGTAGGTGAATTTGTTCTTTGCTTGGCACCCAAATCGGCTTCAAATTCAATTTCTTCAAATGTCAGTTTGCCCAGAAAATGCTGCCAGAACTGAACAATCAAGGACAAAGATAGACAACATCCTGCGGGATTGTCTTTGTGAGTCTTCTTGGCCAGGCAGCACCCGCACCTGAGCCCGAGAAGCCCCAAAAGGTCGCGGTGGCTGTGGGCGAGGCGTGGGGAAAGCGATGAAATGGATGAAATGGAAGCAAACATCAGGCTTACTATGTCAACACTCAGTTAAAGCCTGTTCTTCCCTGTTCTTCCCACATGTTTGCATTTCGCCTGTTTAACATATTTGGACACAGATCCTTGAGCTGTCAGAGACTCCTCGAATTGCAAAGCCGAAGGTCTTGGCCTTCCAACCCCCCTACAAACTACTTTTTCATCTACATACTGCCATGTTCTACTTTCTTTTGCCTCAAGCCTTGCTACTATCACTTACCATATACTTTGTGTTTTAACTTCATGAGCTTAAATGAATCGGGGCGCTACAGCACCAGGAGCCGGAGCTGGTGAAGCCGGCAGCTCCTGCTGCTGCAAAGCCAGCACCTGCACCAGCTCCAGCCCCAGCCCCTGCACCAGCACCAGCAGCGCCGCCAGCAGAGGCGGAACCTGGGATGATCGTAGTGATTTGTTCGGATCTTGAGAAAGATGCACGCAATTCCCCAACCCCACCTGACACGCTCATTCTCACCCTGTTCAACTGTTCTGGTTTCTTTGAACGTATCCCTTGAGCTGAGAATTCAGTCAACAGGTCGCTCCACCTCCAGCGGCAGGATATGCAGGTGCAGATATTTGGACACTTTTCCACAGGTAGTTAGAAGAAGACATGAAACCTCTCAAAAGATACATGTTGCATCTACAACACTCACTGAATACGGCATGGCTTCTTTGTGTTTGGTATCTCAACCCTGCTGCAGACCCCACCGTGCCTGTGGCACCACCAGCTGTAGCACCAGCTGCACCAGCTGTGGCTGCAAATGCTCCAGCATCAGGTTGGGAGAAGCCATGGAAGTCATGATGACGCTGAGCAACCGCGTGGGTGAATCGTTTTGGGGTTCAATCCAGGTAGCAGCTTGGACGACGATCTACTGCGTCGCTTGGAGTTCGGGCCTGATGTATATATATATATATATGTATACATATACACGGGCCAATGGGGTTCACACCTTCGCCGCTCACAAGTTGGATGGTCTTCGGATGATTGCACCTCCTGAGGATGCTAAAAAAGCCATGAGTCAAGGGCAGAAGGTGTGAAGCTCAGTGTGCCTCCGGGAGTCAACTTCATATACTTTGAGTGACCAAGTGGCAGGTCAATCTGATAATCTACCATTACTGTAGTGTTTTTTTCTATTTTTTTTAAAACAGTGACTTTGTATGTTGTGCTGAAGGTGTGCCTTTGCGCAAACAAGGGCCCACGACCCAGTTCCAATGAAGCGCATCCACAATCTTGTGCGTACAGTATAAGAATGGTGATTGCCTACCTATCCACCTGTAAATTCGTCAAGAGTATCTACTGCATCCAGCCTTGTCATTTCGAAGGGTATGAATGGGGCTGTCCTTTTACCTGTAACAGTCGGTAAACAATTATATATCACTATTTTAGAGAAAGACCTTAACTAACCATCACCATCCACTGTTACTAGAAATGAGATGATAGACCCAAGGTATAAATCTAGACACGAGCAGATTCTCTAAGCGCGATGCATGGGATGGGCCTCTCCACTTGGCAAGGTTTGCGCTCTTTTGCCGAAGAAGAAACCATGTACAGGGCTTCGCCACTTCACCCGTGTCAGCTGAAGCCCCAGATGCGTCGTGCTTGGACGGCAGTTGGATGCGCTTATGACTTATGACCATGTTCTCACCATATTCTGTCCGGCCAAGGTCTGATGCGGGGCTCAGTATCACCAGGCTTCTGTGAACGGTCTAGCAATTCTCGGCATCACTTGTACACGCAAAAATGGATGTTTCCCAATTCACAGATTTCAAGTGACTTCAAGGTCTCCAAGCAGAAGCCGTTGTTCAAAAGTACATAGGTTCCACGTCCTCAGTGAGGCTTGCGCCTGAGGTAAATAGTTTCTATCATGTGCAGTGGGCGTGGTCGGGACGGTAGTGGTCCTTCCAAAACCCATCCTGACCCTGGGCCCTTCAAGTTTACATGAAAGCTATCATTGTCGGTTCCATCACGACTGGGTGTAGCAGTCTGACTTGTTGGTTTGCTTAGGCCAGAATCGGTATCGGGGAGCGATCGCTCGTGTGCTAGTACGAGACCACTTGCAAGCCGCCACCCAGCTTTTCCATGCTTTTCCTGTTGACCCTACATTTTCTTTCATACTGTATCCATCCAGCAGTTTGATGTGCTTTGAGAATCGCCTGTGAGCATTTGAGGATATTTGAGGTGTACCTTAGCAATGAGATGCAATGAGCTGCTTTGAGTATTTCTGAATTAATCAACACCGACAGCATGACGGCTAGGGGCCAAGTCTATAATTGAAAGTACTATTGAAAGTATAGCCCCTAGCCTTCAATCGAAAATCCTGGAAACCGACAGGGTCCAAGGCCTCATCCGTCAAGCGTACACACGTTGAGAAGCGTATTGGTCGTGTACGACAAAGGTCAAAAGAGCCACGCCAACGGTTTTTTTCCGCCTCTCCACGATCCATGGCGTTCCGCGTTCTCCGCGTTCCCATCACCGCGTTCGGCTTGGCCATGTACCGCGTTGACCGGAGGTCACCGGTGAGTCGATGCGAACTTCGAGTCGATGAGGTCACAGGTGAGGCTTTAACGGCCGAATCCAAAAATGCCACGGCGGCCGCGTATTCGAAAGCCAAGCTTTTCAGGCGCGACCCCTTTAGCGTGGAACCAAGCCGAAAGGTTTGTGTCTTGATTGGCATGACAGGTGTTGGCAAAAGTGCAACGGCAAATACCCTTTGTGGTGCCAAGCGTGCCTTTGAGACAAGTTCCTCCGTGGTCTCTGTCACAAGTGCTGTTAGAGTGCGGGACTACTCTTTCTCTGGCAGCCGTTGGCGCGTGATAGACACTCCGGGTCTCGGTGATACCAACAAAGCCTATGAGGAGACGAAAGCAGAGCTTTTGGAAACCTTTCGATTCGCTCCACATGGCATTGCTTCCTTTGTGGTGGTCGTTCCGAAAGGTCGCTTTACGAGCGAAATGGAACAACGCGTGCGGGAAGCTTTGGATATTTTTGGAGGAACCGAAGCGATTCGCCACACTATGATTGCAGTGACCAAATGTGCTGATGCACCCGAGAAGCTTTTGGATGATATCATGCGTTTGCCTCCAGATCACACGCTTCGACGCCTATGCGAAATGGTGAGCCAACGTGTTTTGCCGATTGAAAATGTAAAGGAGCCAGCGATTGCGGTGTCCCGCTTGCTGCTGCATCGAGGAATCGACGAGGTTCTTGAGCTCAACAACGAGGAGAGATTCTGGGGAAGGTCTTCTGAATCTTTCAACAAACTCACTGAGCTCTCTGCAAGATCCTTCGGACTGGACAGCTTACCACAAGCTCGATGTTCCACTAAGTGGTCAGAGTTTGAGAGTTGTCCACGTCTGGTTATTGTTTGTGACTTTCCGAGTCCAGTTGTCAAAGGAGCAACATGACCTTTTGAAAAAGCACTCGCAACAGGCTTCGGGAGCTCGTTTTGGCATTCGTGACATTTGTCATATCGGCTTTGTGACGGCCCTGCAGATCGGAAAAGAGCAACATCATGATCAACCCACTCACAAAGCTCCGATGCTGACCTTTGCCACACCTTTCCCACATGTCCTTTTTATAAATAGCAGCTACGCTGTAAACACATGACTCCTATCTAAATGCCCCCAGTCTTTTTGCAGTTTGGAAGATAAACGAACGAATGCTGTAAGGTTGTCAGTCGATCCCCTCGATCGACTTCTTCGGCTCGATGGCGCCATGTCCGCTTCGACCAGCCACGCCTCACAGTTGGGCTTGGCCGCACTGTCACGGCAGCTGGCGGAGCAGCAGGGCTGTTTGCTCGCACTTACGGGCAAGCTACAAGGTGTGCAGGCGGGTTTTGGAGATGTTTCTCTTCAGCGTCGACGCCAAACCAACCGGGCCCCAAAGAGTAGAAAGGTTGAAGCTGTGTTTGGGATCTGAAGATTGCTGTTTCGAACAGTGCGGCTTCTTCAAGACGATTCGTCCCGGTTTCGAACCGGTTCGCATCCTGGCTCGGGGCCAATGTTTTTTTTATGTTTTTTTCTTTGTTTTGCCTCATGAAAGCTTAAAGACCCTGTGAGTTAGACTCTGTATGACTCTGTTACCCTGTGTTGCTATGTATTATGTCACTATCTATATCTGTTCCTATTGCCACTGAGCTCAGTTGTTGTCTTCTCCGTTCGAGCGCAGGACTCCACCAGGCGCCTCAACGAGTTCGAGCTGCAGGAGGCCAAGGTGTGGCAATCTCGCTTGGCTGAAGCGGAGGAGAAGGCAGCAGAGCACTTTGCAAAGGACCGAGTTTGGAAATTTTGCGAAAACCACGAGAAGTACTTGAAAGATGTACTTGAAAGTAGTTTATGTTTTTGTGCTATTTGAGGTGATGTTGCATGTAACTTTTGACTCTGCAAACATGCAGTGTCTCGGCGTGAGAATTCCTCCAACCAGAATGTGGGCGCTCGATGTGCCGTTTTGGTACAGGTGCCGCATGCCTGTCTTCGGATCCCTTCCAAAAACGACGGGTCGTTTCCAACTGGCAAGTTCCATGGTTGTTCGGAATGACCGATTGCTGATCCACTGGGTGAGGTCGAGGAGGAACATGGCTTCAAGGAAGCAATCCATCGTGCACAGCAGCGAGTGCAGATGATGAAGGAAGTGAGCTCAAGCCACCTCTACCGGGAATGGCAAAGGCTTTTCTTTGCTCATCACCGTTCTGGAGGAACTTTGGACAACTTCTCCACAGTGACCTTCTTGAGAGAGGCGCTCAGAACCGCTTCACATGTAGAGAAAGATAGAGCTGCAGTGCACTGTAGATAGACAAAGCCAAAAAACGAACTTGCTCCGCAGGTTTGCGATGTAGTTCCTTTGTCAGAGCTTGCGGCCAAAGAAGCTGCTGCGGCAGAGCTGCATGAGGAAACCTCCCTGCTGGAGATAAGGCTTCGGAATATTGAGGACGAAACTTCCATCTCAGTTTTGTAGGGAGGGCCAGAAAGTAGAGACAAGTGATACGTAAAGACAAGAGTTCAGAAGCCACGCCAAACCACCAGACCACAGTGCCAGAATTCATGAAGTTGGACCTGCTCCCACTAGCAAAAACCAGATTTGTCCAGCAGGAAACTGAACTCCAAGCAGCTGCCCAAGCTGCAGAAGAGTCTGCAAAAGGGCGAATGCTTCGAGCAGAGCTGCAGGAGACCGTGTGAGTTGAGTTGGGTTGGTTCCGTCGTTGTGTGTCACGTCACAATCATTGTGTGGCTGCACCCAGATGGACAGGAACAGCAGGCGGTGAATGCTGGCTGGCGCTCTGGGCGCCTGCAAGACAGTGTCTACAAGCTGAAGCTCCGTGAAGAGCAGGAGGGCTGGTTGGGGGCCGTCGCTCTTAGGTTGGAGGCCATCAAAGACAGTTGGACGGTCCACTTCCATCCGATTTACGGAGGCTTGAGCTTCATAACAGTTTTATGTTCATTGCTCCATTTTGGACTTGGTTCATAGATGCAGTATGTTGCCGAGACCAACCACGTTCCATTGCGGAACAGCTGTGTGGATCCGAAGGATCAGCACCAAGGGCATGCCATGGAGCTGGAAAGGCAGCTGAAGGAATGCGAGGAACGGACATCAACTGCAGCACCCTAGCTGAATGGCTCTCACAGTCGGCCGCTTTCTTGAACTCATGCTTCGATTGCATGGAGCATAGTGATGGAGTTAGTGGTGTATGGCATTCTGAGGCTGCCAAAGCGCGGCTGTGGCGACACAGTGCCAAGCAGATGTATCAAGAGGTGACGAGCCATAGAGGTGAACAAGGGTTGTGAATATAGTATACGTAATTTGGGCAGGTACGTCTTTTGCAGATCGTCCCTGTTTCCGTCTTCATATCTTCATCAAACAGCATTAACAAAAGGTTGTTTCGCTGCAAACGGAAGGTGCAGCCATGCGAAGTTCGACATGGGGTGCTGGAGGACACGATTGCCATGATGCTCATGCTGCAAAGCACAGACATCACAGCACTACATTGTACATAAATCAAATTCATCAATGCAGACCAATAACAATGAACAACAATGAATCACAATCAAAGCAATGACTACATCATTCAATCATGCTTGTTGAATGAAAAACACGTTGTTACAAGATGATTGCGAGGGCATGATGATCTAGTCGTTTGTTTGAACGTTCCTCGCGACTTCGGACTGTGGAAACATGGCCGTCGGGGGTCGTGAGCTTGTGCTCTTGGAAGAGGAGCAAGTCGAGAACATGGCCAGTGGAACTGCCAAGCTTCAGAGAAAAGTGGCGCTTTGGTCTCAATTAATGATGAAGAACCAGTTATATTTGGTAAAAAAATCGCGTCTCTGCACTGAACGAATCATCCCATCACCCAGCTCTTGACAGTAGTTTATAAGCCAAGGAGAGTCAGTAACAGACCTATGATGACAAAGTGCCATTAATCAGTGATCACGATGTTGCTCTTCTAGCTACATTTTTTTGGTCGGGCTCACTTTACATAAGGATACTGAACACTCTGGCATGCTTATTTTGCTCGAGGAAATGCAGGAATTCCAACTGGGGCACCGAAACCTGGTACAGCTCTGGAGCTTGAGCCTCAATGTTTAACTCCAGGTATTGCAGTGTGCTTCATGGGGCAGATCAACCCGGTGGCCAACACCGACCACCTTCCATAGTGAGCAGCTACTGTAAAGGCCATTTGGGATCCTTTGGCTGGAGCTTACCAAACTTTCGTTTTTTCCGAATGCCTGCCTGCAGGTTCAATCACAGCTGAAACAAGACTTGCAAGGTTTATGTAATCACAGCCCAGCTGAAATGCCTTGTGGGGCAAAAGAACAAAAGCTTGCCAGAAAGCTCTGCTGTCTCTGCGCTTCTCAGGTAGCGAGGCAACTCAAGCTGGCCGCATGGGTCAAGAACATCAGAGCCAGGCGAGTCGCGAGGAATGTGCAGATCAAGAGGAAGTCTTCGTTGCAAAAAAGAACAGTTCAACAGTTCCATGGCTTCAAGAAGCTGTGAAAAAGAAGTGCCAACAAGCCACAATCATTAAGCAACGGAACAAAACTGATACTTTTCAAACGAGGGTGGACTTGGATTGCGCCAGCAGGGACGTGACTCAAGCTTCCCACCAATGTGTGAGCGCGCTTAGCGGCGCTGGGATGTCTCAAAGTTGAGATCGTGTTTTTGTTCATGGGGCAGTTTGTTGGCTTGAACCAGCAAGAGCTGGATGAGGAACGTGCCAAACAGCTAGCCACCTTTGAACATTCGGAGTCTGTCCGGAAGAACTTCGAGAAGAAGACTCAGATCCCCCACATCCACCTGCGGCTTTGTTCAATCGGCTACTTGGAGCTTTGCGGGCCAGATCCTGGAGGGAACCTGGAAAGATTCGTGAAGTCAAGATGGCTTGCCGAAGATGCAGAATTTGTTTCGCGAAATGTCGTAGCAAGTGGCTCTTGCTGTTGGAGGAACAACCAGGAGACAAACTTGCCACGTGAGCCCATGGACTACGTGTGTGACAAGCATTTTGTCTTTGAGTTTCCCAAGACAGGAATTCAAGGCAGTGGTGCCTGTGGTGCCTTCATGGCCAAGTTCACTCTGGAGTTGATCGACTTGATGAATGACTGCTCGTGTGAGCTGATCTCCTGCAGTATGGAGAACCTGGACACCTTCAGGGAGGCACAGATCACGTTTCGATCACCTCACCAGCAGGGCATGTTGGGTCCTTGCATGATGGTGGCCATGAAACAATTGGGGTCTATTGAGCTGCTGGGGTCCAACACTGAAGGAATCCTGGATGAGTTGACTCGATACCTGCAGGATTTGGGTTGCGAAGCTGTGGGCAACGTGGCTAATTCTGAGCACGAGCGAGAGCTTCGAGCATCCTTCGCACGGCCATGTATCTCCAATTCCAACTCTGGAGACAATAACATGGGGCGAAGAGCAGCTGGGATCGTCAACTTTATGGCAAGATGTGGATGGTCCTTGGCAGCGCATAGCGAGTTGGACATGACTGGGGGCTTTGGACAAGGGCGAGAACGCAATCTGATCTTTCGCAAAGATTCTTGGTCTTCCAAAAACAAGACTGCAGAAGGCTAAGAACAGAGGAAAAGCGTTTGCAGTAAGGGTCCAAAGATAAGACAGCCAAAAGAGCCAAGAATAATTTGTCTCTGTTTCCGACGATTCCGCTCTCAGGATTCCCTCGGCTTCCAGGAGCATTTCATCGTGGAGCTCCAAAATTCTGGTCGAATCTACTTAAACGGTGATGCAGCTGGTGTGGAGTTGGCGGGTATGTTCTTTGGCTGCCATGGCTTTCAGTCCTGCTATCCAGAAAAGCTGTGTGATGCCCAGTACGTCGCCCCAGCAGGCTACTTCATTGATGACATGGGCACCAACCTCAGCAAATCCTCCGTGGAGCTTGTTGACTGGTTGAGTGGAAAAGGTTGGACTTTACGCTGCGGTGGTAGCATGCACCATCATCAGAGAGATGGCTCCATCAGGCAGGAACATCATTTGGTGTTTGCTCGGGTGCAGCAAAAACACACGACACCTTGGTCAGCTCTGGCTGTGGAATTCCGAGTGATTCCTCAGTCCTTGACTAGCTATTCTTGCGTTGTGGAAGTTTCTGGCGAGCAGACCTGTCAAATCTATGACAAGTTGCTTCTTTTCTTCACGCAAGACATGCTCTGTGAAGAGGTGGGCCAGGTGGCGCAAGCTCCCCAAGCGCAAGCTCATTGTGATCACCTATTGTCCTGCAACGCCCTGCAGGTCCGCGGCCTGGGCTTGCAAGCAGAGTCCAACTTTGGCAGGTTCAGCACGATGCTTTGTGACTTCATGGCAGACCACCTACATGAATGGACGCTGGTGAGCAATGTCGGTCAGAGTTATTCCACAACTTGGAAGGACGCCACGGACACTCCGGGCATCAGACTCTTGGCACGGCAGCAGCTTTTCATTTTCCTTTCAAGCTCACCAGCACCACTTCAGCAGAACATGAGTGGTGCACGCCGGTGATTGGCCCAAGATATCCTCTATGACGTGAGTTCAATGAGCCGGAGTGATGAGGGCAGCCTTGCATGATATTCGGCTGGCTTGTGACTCAGATAGTCCCTACCTTCTTGAAGTCGGGGACCTCTAGGAAATGTTACATTCTAAATACAGGGCAACACAGGATTTTTATTTGCAACCTTGCATTTTTGGACATTGGATTTATATAGTTGTAACTTCTGTTCGAGGACACATAGTCCTATTATATAAATATAAACGAAATGCAACTTACATTTGAGGACAACCCGCCTGAAGGTAAGGACACCAGACGATCCTAATGCGATTGACTTATTTGTTTGACGCTTTGGCTAAGCCAGTGCAATGTAATGTGTTATCAGTGTGGGGAGGGTGCCGAGAAGAGACATCCTCCAGATTTTTTAAATACCGCAGGCTGCAAGCAAAATCCAGCACTGTGCTGGGCTGCCAGAATGCTGGGCATGCAGAGCCAGTTTTGGTTTTGATCCCTGTCGCTCAAGAAGGTGTCGGGAAAAAGACTTGACAGCGCTGCCACGTGTACAGATTCCTCTCATAATAGTTCATTCTAAAGGCAGTGGATGTTGCTTGGACCGGGGCTAGAATTGGCGATGGGTTTTATCGACTTGAAGCAAGCATGTTTACAAACTTCTTGGGCTTTGAGTCAAAGCCAAACAGCCCATAAGACCTGTTCATTGGTTGACAATCCTTGAAGCAATCCATTCCGTTACGTTCATTGGCTCAGAGATTTTTCCAGTATTCGAAGGTGACATGACCGAGAGCTATCTGGTACCAATGGTAAAAGGGTCCTTGGTAAGGGCAGGATGACCCTCCCCCAAGACCACAGATTTTCAATCCACATTTACTCTTCCAGCCTACCAGCGGAGCTATTACTTCTGCTTTTGCATCTGCTTTTGCATGCTTTTGCCCCGTCTCTTCTGGGACGAAGGCCTTAGCCCTGCTTCGGCACAGCGCCTTGATTCGCGCAGATGAACAGAACGCGCAGCAGGCGCGCTGAGCGGCGTTTTGCGTTTTGCGTTGATTTGGATAGAGCATGAGCTGATCACAAAATAAGCAACTCAGTACTCGTTGGCCCTCCCCGTTTGGAAGAGTTGGAAGGTAGAAGACCTACAACCTTATGTTTCTTCTGCATGTTCTCCCTCTTGATATCCTTGCAGTTGGTTGTTTTGAAGTTCTAACATGCTCTAGCATGGGTCAGATGCTCATGCAGCCGTCAAATGACGAAGCCACCTAGTTAAACAGCGCCAACAGGCTGGCAGGTGTGTTTCTCTGGCGTGTTTGAGTTCAATGTGTTCAACATAAAATTATATAATTTAACTCTTTGCCCATGCTAGAACCATATCACTCTTTTCCGTTTGCCCTCTTGCTTGGCTTCTCGCCAGGAGCTCCATGGGCTGTGGTCAGAGTTGGCTGAAACGCACCGCGAAGCCGCGCAGCAGACGGCTGCCCTCCGCGACTTGTCGGACTTGGACGCCGAAGCCGCTTCGGGGGGGCCAAAGCCTCTTTCCGAGATCCTCTGAACCCATTAAACAACCATTGAATGAATAAAAAGGATTAAGGATCCCAGCGACCCCCCATGGAGAACATGAGGGACCAAGTCTGAAGTTGTTGAGGGGCTCTCATCTTGAGACAGGCCAAGCACCTGGTCTTGAGGTCGGACCACTGAACTCCGTGAAGCTGTGGAGAAGGATGTGCTGGGTTTGAGAGAGGCAACGGATGACAGACCGAGCGATTGGATGTTGGAAGTGCATGGCATTTCGCAGTGCACATGGGACTGTTTCAAAGCCCGCGGGATTTGTTATATTTTGTTACCCATTATTAGCCAATCTATTTTTCAGGTTTTTGTTTCCAGTCTTTTTTCGACCTCTTGTGAATGGCAGACTACCGCGTGTCTCGGCCAGCAGCCGGGGTGCTTGGATGGGCTCATATGGCGGGAGAGAGCATGATGTGCATGATGTGACTCCAAAAAGAATCGACCGACTTGTTTCCTTTTTGAGCACCAAACCATACCAAACACCCCAACACCCTCCCCAACATCCTCCGTCACCCTCCTCCGTCCCCCAATGCGTTGGACATCTGAAGTGATGAGCTGTTCCAAGGCGTTGGCGCACGCAGCAAGAACTGCACTATGCAGAGGGCGTGGCTGCATCGCCACGTTTGAAGGCGAAACTAAGCGGAGGTGCAACCCTACTTGTGTGAAAAGGAAGTTGATGGAGAAAAAGTAAACATGTGTCTTCAGTTTTGAACTATTTTGGCTGTAGCTGTGCACTTCTGCAATCTGCTCTCCCTTCAAGCTGCATGCGCATTTATCGAGTTCTTTGCAGCCCTCGCATGCAGAGAGGCGCGCTCGTGCCAGCACTCCAGCTTCCAGAAGGATATGCAGGCGCATGTTCATGTTTTCTACCGCTCATACCCTCAGACTTTACAACTTACAACAAGTGAAGTTTCCCTAAACATCTAGGAACCAAATCATGAGTGCGAGCGTGAGCTATCCTGCGTCCTAGCTAGGAGCGAACTTCTCCTAGTAGCTTACTTCTCCCTTACTTAATTAAGTAGGCACGCCTGCTTAATTGAGTATGGGCGGGCTTAAACACAAGGACAACATTCTACAATATTCTACAACTCTACTATGACTCGGACTAAGGCAGCACCCCAACCCAGGTGCCTTGCCCGCTTTTTGTCGAAGGGGCAGCTTTGGGTCGAAGTTAATGGAGCGAGGTCAGTCGATCTTGGAACCAAGAACGACAAGAGCTTCTTGTTCCTAGCAGTAAGGCCAGGAGCCCCTAGTAGCGTCCTTGCTCCTAGTAGCGATGCAAGGAGCCCCGATCGTAGCTTCTTGTTCCAGAATCCCATTCGTCTTGGTTCCTAGTTGCAGTGGATGGATGTGAAAGCAGGTGAATTAATTTGGTTATTGATGGGTATCTCTAAGGTTTCTGAAGTTGATCTTTTGTGCGAGTTGCTTAGCTCTGGGTGTTGCCTGGCCGAACATTGATCAGGTGTCTTTGCGAAGCTCGCTTCAGAGTGGTCCACTCTGAAAAAAAAAAACGAGTGGAATTGATGAGCTGTGGGTTCAGTTCCTTTTGACTGGAAGATACTGGAAGACTGGGTTGTTTGCATGAATTATCCGTTCGTTTCCCTCCGTGATTTTGTTGAGTCAGAGTTGGTGAAAGACTTGAAGACACTGTTTGATGTTGGCGTTCCAACAGTTTTTTGCGCTCAAGCTGACTTAGCTGGGCCTCTTGGGCCCTGATTCATTGCAGAGGAGATCTCACCGAGTTGCAACTGTGTTGGTGTGAAGGATTATTCTGTTTGGTGGACTCTGATGTTTTCCGTCTACAGTACATGTCATTGCACCGAGCTGAGCCTAGAGTTTGAAAGTTGATGACTTGCTGAAAGGGATGACGCTCTGCATGGGCAGAAGGCAGGGAACGGCAGGAGGATTCGCTAAGTTCAGAGCGCTTGCAGCATTGTTCTTTTTGGGTGAGGATTGTTTGCAAAGAATTTAGAAGAACATAAGGAGCATACTAGAGATGGCCTCCAACCTAGAAGCAATTCCCTCCAACCTACTAGCGATGGCCTCCAACCTATGCTTTCTGGGTGACTGCCTTCAGGGTACCAACGCCCTCTCTGAGCCGAAACCAGCTTGGGCCTCAGGAGTATTGGTCTTTCGGATCGTGGGGATTCGGGTGTCAGAATCACGACCCAGGATCAGCTCTTTGGAAGAGGCATTGGGTTTGAATGTTCGATGGCTTTGAGTGGACCATCGAATGGTTCAAGACTCCGGTGATTCCTTTTGGACAGTCCATGACAGTCCTTTGCATCTCGCAAAAAAAGGATAAATGCCAGTGACAAGGGCATCGCTACTAGTAGCAAGAAGCTACTAGGTTGGAGGCCATTGCTATTAGGTTGGAGGCCATTACTACTAGTAGCAAGAAGCTACTAGAGCTTCTCTGTGGCAGACCAAGTCGGAAGAGCTCTCCAGTCGGAAGCAGGAGTCTCCAGGGTGGACCAAGTGGATCTCATCGCTATGATTCCCAAAGACAAGAAAGAGACATAAACATAATCAACACTACAATTATTGTTTAATATATATTTTTTCATCTTTTACAGTTCACACATTTGTCTTTTTCTGATTCCCTATTGAACATGTCTCGTCGGACGTTGCGCGTTTTCGTCTTGGAGGAGCAAGCCCAGAAGGTTCGGTGCCGTCCTCAGCACAGGATTTCACCTCGCTGTAGAATTGGCACACAGATTGCTAAAAAGCCCCGGACAGATGACCAGAGCCAGCCGCCATTCTACATCCACACTTTTCTTTGCCTCATTACTACTGGAGTTTGCCAGGTGCAAGCAACCTTTGCAGCGTCGTGCTGGTGGGGAGGGGCTTTGGAGATATCACTGCAGCACCTGACTCTACATGACTATAACCTAATAGCAATGGCCTCCAACCCAAGTGCGATGGCCTCCAACCTAATAGCAATGACCTCCAACCTAATAGCGATGGCCTCACATGACTGCTTGTTGACGTTTAAGGGGAACTTCCGAGAAAACCTCTCCCACCGCTCACCTATTTCACATCGAACGCACAAGCAACACTTGAGCCTCGTGAGGTCTGGAGAATGTCGCTCCCTGCCAGGTGGGGCGAGACCGACCCACCCAAGGTCCACACCAAATGTCAAGGTCCACACAGTCCACACACACCACGTGTTCTTTTTTTCTCTTCCGTGTCATTCGGCCTTTGTACACGGTGTATGGATGTGTAAGGATTTTGTGAGCCAACCAATTGGTTGTAACCTGTTGTAGCACAGCAGCCGCATTTGGGGCAACCCTCTCCCTTGACATCCAGATCCAAGAAGATTATATACTTATGGATAATTACAGAATGCCATGAATTGCTCCATCAGCCAGGTCCTCTCCGGAAAAAAGACCTCGCCCTGCAAGCCTGGGAAGCTCAGCGCTGTTCACGATGGCAACAGCCCATAGATCAACGCTTATATAGATGTTTCTTCTTTTGTTTCAATCATTCTCCATATGGAAAATGAATGAACATTCAAGTTGGCCCCCCAACCCTTTTAAGCAGCGACAGCATTCAGGAAGAAGCACCCGGTCCGCAACAAATCAGTACAGCTTCAAGCATGCTTTCTGAATGCATGTATCCAGGATGATCTCTGCTTCACCGAACAAAGAGAATGAAGAGGCATTGCCAGGCCAATCAGTTCAGAAAAGCGCCAACCTTTCTTTTGGGTTGCAGGCAGTACCTACCTGCATCGACATGCAGAATATGTTCAGCAAGCGCAAGCTCTTTGAGAAAGAGGCGGGGCTGGAGGTGCTTGGACACCATGTCCAACTTTCACACAGGTGATGGCACGTTTTGCTTGGTGTTTGATCCTGCTTGAGGCCCAAGCTGAACCATTTCCTGAGAAACCGTCAAAGGTCACGCCATGATCCTGTCCCTATAGTTCCTTTGCAACATCTCTTTAGATGACACCCTCTTCCCAGAAGTTGCAGCTTCTTGTTTCCACTTTTACTTCTTGGTCATAAGGCTCAGCAGAGCAGGAACGGAGTTTTTACAGTTACACGAGCCCGAAGCGAGTTCGTCCCGTGCGCGATGCTGGCGGCGTCGGTCCCGTTGTCCCTCCCGGTGGACCGACCGACCGTGGGAGCACTTCCTCAGCGAGCACCGGTGAGACCGAGGGGAGGCTCCGAGGCGAGGCGGGTGAGGAACATGGTGAGGCCGGTGAGCGAAGGCCTTTCGAACAATTCTAGAAGGCTTTATTGTTACTAGCGTTGGCGTCCAACCCAATAGCGATGGCCTTCACCTAGTAGCTTCTAGTGACTAAAAAGCTTCAAAGACATACTAGAAAGTTTTTTTCTTTTTTGTAGCCCGTTTCCCTTCACCCTTACTTGATTAGGTAGGCTCCGACTTAACTAAGGGCTAGATTAAGTAGCAGGAAAGTGCTCGCACGATTCACGTGGTTTCTATATATATAGATTTTTTAGGGGAAAAACAACCTTCATGTCATATTTAGATTTCAGGTACCCGAGGATAGATCTTTTGGCACTACTCGTATTTGAAGAAAGACGAAGAAGAAGTAGAAGTACCTCGTGACCCTGGGCCGTTTATGGTTTCTTTCCTTTTTGATGTTGAGATGATCTTGGGAGGCCATGCTTGGCCTATCCGTCTTTGCCGTGGCGTTGGGAGCTTCCCAGAAGGTGCCAACTGCCATGGACATTGCTAACAGCGCTTTCTGTACTACCCACCACTCTGTTTTGGTTTCGGTCTTTGTTTGGAGTTGGAGCGCTTCTACCTTTGGCCTTCCAGTCTATTGGCCTTTCCTGCCTTTTCAGACACTCGAGTCACTAGAGTATTTTGCTCCTAGTAGCAATCAAAGACATACTGGCTTGGACCAAGTTGTCTTCTTTGGAGCAATTAACTCAGTCGCTCCCTGAGGCTTCGGTAACCTCACGGCGTGCATCCCGCCGTGAGCTGTTCTGGACACCCTTGACACTCTTGCCAGTGGCTGCAAGAGCTGAAGAGGCAGGGCTGCGGAATGCAGTAGGACTTGAGAAAGGTGATTGCTCCTATGAACTCCTCGACTCAACTACCGCCATTTTTTTGAACTCTTCGTTGCTGCCTGCAGGGTTTAACAAAAATTGGCAATGATCAGTTCAGCATCGAGCTTCCGAAGGGCTTCTCGTGGAACGAGAGTCTCAGCTGTTGAGTATCATGCCTTGATTGTTGCCCCTTGTGAATCAGAGGCAGGCAGGCACAGGGTATTTTGTGGTACTGTAACCTCAGGTGAACAACTGTCAAACAAAAGGCCTGTGATTGCTTGCTTCTATTTTCTGGACGCCACTGTTTTCATTTGTTGTCTTGGTGTCCAGCCACTTTCTAAGGAAGTTTATCCTTGCGAAGACTCACACCTTTGAGCGCAGCGTGACTGCTTCGGACCCCTATAGCAAGTGGAAGCTAAGCGTAAGCTGAAGAGTGCAGCACTCGACGTGTTTTTTGTTGATTTTCTGGATCTCTGCCCGAGAAGACTCGGCTGAATTCGGTGCCCAGGAAGGTGGGCATTACCATTGATGAGGTCTTTGCCAACAGTTTGACTCGATCTTAGTCCAGTGATATATATATATATATATGGCCGTGAGTCAAAACCCAGACCGCTAATCCTTGGTAGGTTGACATCCCTAGTAACCCTAGTAGTCTATTCTGTTCATGTTCGATCGTCAACCTGGGTTCCCTGGTTTTGACCCACAGCCATACTGTATCTCAAACTGTGCCGTTGGTGTGTCAGTGTTACACCGAGCGGAACAGAGCCAATCTGTTTTCCGAGCGGAACAGGTCTGATGTTGGCTCGGCTGATGTGGTGGCTGATCGTATCGCTTCAATTGAGAAGCAGAAGGATGGGAACTTCACCACAGACGTGCTGTCGGCGAAGGACGTGAATGCTGGCGATATCCAAACCTATGTGATCGAGTACCGCTGCGATACGTCCAGAGGCACACAGACAGGTGCTTTGAGATCAGAGAAAGTTTTGCGTCAACATGACATCCAGGCTACAATCACTTCCTGGTGCGTGTCGCTCTTCAAAAAGGTCGGCTCTATACAGTGACGTCTCAGGCAGGCACACCATGACAAAATCACCATGAAGCGCACGATGCGGAATTTGGGCTTGTCGGTGGGCGTGCATACCTCATCCTACAAACACACTGTGTCGGCTGCTTTTTTTAAATACCGTCCTTGTTTTTGATGTCCAGGACGGTCACATCCCGGCTACCAATGCAGTCCGTGAACGCTTGGGGTGATTGATCCTAAACATTTGTATAAATTTAGACTTTGGTGCGTCTCAATCATCCCAAGCTCGGGAAGGTCCTCATCAAGCATTCCATGAATGTTCAAAGTGTTCACGAGAGAATGTGAGTTTTAGATACTGGTAGTAGTTTTAGCGTACATCCAGTGGATCTTGAACGAGAAACCAACTTACTCCCGGTGTTCGTCCTAATTCTTATGTCAGGCACCCGAGGAGCAGTGGTCGACCCTGGAGGAAGCCACACGGACATCTTTCGATTCCTTTAGGCCAGGTGCGTTGGTCTTGGCAAGTTTCTTAATGTCTATGAGTCGACAAAGGACACTGGATCAAAGATCGGTTGCTTCGTTATGCACCCTCATTGTCCAGCACTCACTTACTGTATCTCTCACGGAAACTCCTTGTCTTCTGTTGTTTCATGTTGTTTGGAGTCCAAAAAGAAGCATCCTTGTATATTGGGAGGCTTGCGGGGTGAAGATGGCTGACAATTCCAAAGACGTGAGCCTCGACCGAATCCCATGGGATCCCACACGATCGATTGTGCAGTTTTCGCAGTTTTCGCGCAGCCAAATCTTCGCTCCAAAGATTGGAGAGAAGATGAATGAGCTGAGCCGAAGTGGAAAAAAGGAGCCGAAGTGCTGTGAATGGTCAAGTCTTGGCACTTTGGACCTAAAAGGAGAGCATGAGCATGTGTCTTAGACCAGGGAGACCGGAGACCCCACAAAGATTCTGGAGAACGGCAAAACTAGAGGACCAAACTCATTGGGCCAGGGGGGTCAATTGAAGTTCATGCTCAGTCACCCCCCAAAAAATTTAAACGTGTTGGTCAGCACGTTGTTTTTCTCCTGTGACCTCAGGTCTCCGAGGAGCAGATGTTGGTGGAGGCTCTGCGAACGGCACCCACAGGCGCACCGGCGCACGCGCGCTTCTGTCGCTGGATGTTTGCTGTGGTTTGCTCGCAGGTCAGGTGTTTGCGGCTCTTTGTGGGCTCCGGAAGGCGTGTTCTCTGGTGGGGATGGGGGCTACACAGGGTTGAGGAACTGCCTTGAGAGAATCTGCAAGGAGACAGGAACTCGGGAAGAGCCCAATGAACCAAACTTCAAGTAGCAGAAATGAAGCCTTCAAGTACTCATACCAAGTCAAACCTCTTTTGTGTTTGCCCCTTTGCCGTACCTGTACACCTCTGCCGTTGGTTTCTTCACTCTGTTTGATCGACCGTCGCTCCAAGGCGCTCGCCAGACCACGACCACCCATCGATGGAGCGCGGCCACCTGTGGTCGTCGTTGGAGCCGGCCGTTCGCCGCTAAAGGAACCCTTAACCCCTTTTTTTTGTACATAGAGACTATTGGGCACGTGACCGGTAGGCCGAGCCATCAGCCAGGGCTAAACGGACTGTCGCACACGACCAACGAAACGTGGGCCAGCCTGTCCTTTAACCAAGGTCATAATGGTGGAGTAAGCACCATTTGGGGAAATCTTTGGAAGGTAGCGAGGACGCTACTAGGTGGAGGCCATCGCTATTCGGTTGGAGTTGGAGGCCATCGCTACTAGTAGCAAGAAGCTCCTAGATTAGGTGCTCCGTTGTGGTGGTGCCGAGCTCTTGGTGGAGACACTGCGCACGATGCTGAGCATTGCCAAGGTTGCCAAGCAGTGAGACAGGGGATGTGAAAAGTTTGCTACACATGAAGCAGGAAAAATGAGATGCATACAAGAGATCAACAGGGGTCGGTGTAACAGGATGTCCAATAGATTGGCACAACATGCACATCCTCAACCTAAGAATTGCTCACGAAGCTCAATGTGCTTAGAATGAGGTTCTTCAAGCTTGATTCCAGCCGGAAAGGCTGAGGCAGGTTGGCTCCAAAATCCGTGTTGCACCGGTCACATGTTGGCAGGAAATCGGCATAGTTTCCACAGTAAAGAGCGTTCTTAGATATTTCTGCAGAACAAGTTCTGAGATTGAATCCATCTTGGCAAATGAGAAAGAAGCCAAAGGGCCCAAGGCCCTTCAGAATTCCTTCCATGTTGTAGGCAGCCTGGTGCCTAGTGCAACTAGCCAGTGGAAGCTCCGTGCAGACCCACCAACTCGTCCAGGCGCTCCTCTTCAACCGAATTCTGCACTAGATTCATCACAGTCCTGATATTTGAAGGGATCGACGGGGCCAGAATTGCACAGAATCCGCAGCGAAGCGTCTCCGAAGCGAGATGTAAAGTTTGATGTGTTCCACAGTGGTGATCTGACAATCTATTTTGTTTCTTTTGTGCACAATCTGCTTGCTGCTGTACTGTCGCAGCAAAGAGACATGTAGATTCAATTCAAACCAGCCAACCACTAGCCCCCATCCGGCACAAAAACATGCACCTGTGGCAACACGATGCATACTTCAGATCCATACTTCAGATCCGCAAAATCAAGCAACATCAGGTGTCAGCATTGGTGCACAGCAAGTGCAGTGTTTGTCTCCGAGCCATGGGTGGCGATGGCGATGAGCTTTCCTGCGCACTGGTGGAGTACGTCCGCGGCATCCGCGCGCGGAAGTGGAGCTTTCAGCTGGGGCAAAGCTACATCGTGGGACGCGCAGGAGGCTGCGTTGACATTGAGATCGATCACAACTCCCTATCTCGGAAGCATTGTTCCCTGGCAATTACAGAAGTGGAGGATGAATTAATTCTTGTGGCCCTGGACCATGGCTCCACGAATGGAACATTCATCAACAAGTCTAGACTCGACAAGGGAGTTGGGCTGAAGATGAAAGTGGCTGATGTGAAGCATTTGGTCTTTGGTGAGTGCGAAAATGGTTACAAGTTTCTGGTCAAAGAGCCAGAGCAGCCGCTTCTCGAAAAGTCAGACAAGGGAAAGATGCCCGGTGCTGGGGGGGGCATCTGCAGGCCCCTCGCAGTGTGAATTGCATGTAGATGCTTGGGCCCGTGGAGGAGCTGGAGCTGGAGGAGATGAGGCTGAAAGCAAAGGCAAAGGTGGCAAAGGCGGCAAAGGCAAGCGAAAACGACCAGGTGGAGCTGCTGGAGCTGGAGCTGGGGCAGAGGCGAAGCCAGAAAAGACGGGGCCCAATCGTCGAGAACGACGCGCAGCAGCCCGTGGTGAGACAGTGGATAACTCGAAGAGTTCTTGGCGCTCAGCAGCTCCTGAGGCTTTGGCAGAGCGAGTCTCCAAGAAAGCCAGGGTGCCAGGCCGAAGCCATGATGTGAACATTGAGTGGCCAGAAGACTGGAAATGAGGCGAGAAGTCGGACACACAGGAAGCTTTCAAAGAGAAGTCCAAGTGGTGCAGTGTGAAAAAGGCCCACCTTGTACGTTGGCTTCTAATAGCGCTGATTGATTGATTGATTGATTGGTTGATTGATTGATTGATTGATTGATTGATTGTTCCGCTTCTTGCTGGCTGGATGCGAGAATCAATGCCCTCCAAACTTGCATGACATCTTGACATTAAGAGTCCAGGCAGGTGCCACCCTTGCGGCTTTAGAAACCCTGCAGTCTTCCAGCATTGCAGCGAGGCAGCGGGGGACCGACCTGTGACGAGCGTTTCGATTTCGGGACATTGAGAATGGGCTTTTGGGAGACAGCCTGTCAACACAGTGGGTCAGTGGTTCTGAGAATGACCGATTCTCTCACAGAAATCATCTAAATCTAAATATAGCATATATATATATACATACACAAGTTTTACCTTTTTTCCCGTACAGTGGACGTGTCTGTGAGAATCTCCAAGTAGACTAGAACAGGAGGAATTCATGCCCTGCCATTGCCACCACGCAGGCTCTGACCAATTTCAGCTTCTTTGGCTTTACTTGAGCTTACGAACAGATGAAGCTTTTAGTTGGCCCTTCCCAACCACTTGCCATAGACCACCTGCTTCCATAGATCTTCCCTCCCTCGGAGACGGGTCGACAAGAACTCGCTCGCAGTTCCGCGCTCTGCGACTTTTTACTTCAGCTCTTGGCCAATGCCCTGCACTTGGCTCGGCTCGGAGGCCACACGATCGCATACGGTAAAATACGGTAAATATATATATATAGATAGATCTGGTAGTTAGTCGTGGCAGTGTGTCTGCATTTAAATCTATGCGTAATCTCCAGGCCACATCAAAACAGCTGGCTTATGTTGGCTTCAACCTAGCTTGATGACTCATGGATGACCAACTGCCTCAGCTGTTTCTTCTTGCAGGTTTCTCATGTTGGTATTCAAGGGTTTCGCACTACTAGTGACAACCAAAGCTATGTTCTTGATTCTGTCCCTTCAAGTGGCTTTGCTCAAGACACAGACCGGGCTTTGCCAGTGTGAAGGTATCATGGCGTGGCAGATTCTGATTTCGATTCTGTTCTTGCTGATTATCAGGGCAGATGGTGGCCCTCTAGCCTATGGCCTGTGTCAAAGCGGTTGCAACGCTCTCGCAGTTGCGTGTTATGCGGCTGCTGGAAGCACCTTCGGGACGGTGACAGCGGGATTGGGCACTCCCGCTGCAATTCTGGCTTGCAATGCTGCTCTTGGAACATGCATGGCAGCATGCGTGGCAGCTGGCTGCACCCCTACGCCCTAGAGAAGGTTTTTTGAGTGGACACCGAAGTATGAAGCATTTTTGGAGAGCAAGGATGAGAAAGGCAGAGTCGAATGAATGCCATTTGCGGAACCTTAGTTAGGATATACAGTTCCCGGTTGCATTTATCTTCTCTTGCAGGCGAAAAGAGATATGCCGCAGCTCATTTCACACATTTGACAGTTGACATTTAACTTTTAATGTAATATATGTATATATATTATATATATATATCTACTTCAGCAACAGATTTGAATCATTTGACCATATCTTGCGTCCCTGAGTCAGACCCGACGGGTTGAGTTCCGGATCTTTTTCTTAAACACCAAGGTCGGCGGTGATGCGGATGGCAGCTTCCGGGATGGACTGCTTGATGCTGACATCGCCGGGTGCTGCAGTTTGTTGCACCGCCATGTTCTAATGAGTTCTATAAAGAGGTGCCCAAGTACTAAAAACATCTAAAGACCGCTGTCCACTGTTTGTGTATTTTACTATTTTGTTGTCCCTGTCCTGCATGCTTTTGGCAAACGTGTTTTTAGTTCACTGCACTGCACATGCCTTGCATTCCGAATCAGATCATTTGCCCATGCCCCTCCCTCATGCGCATGTGAGCTGTCAATACGCAATGTCACTCAACTTTCCTCGACATGGCTCCCGATGTCTCCTTCTTCGCCTCGTCCAACTCTCTGAGGTCAACGTTTTGGGGCAGCTCTTCGCAGAGGCAGCTCGCCCAACTCGGTCGCCGTCCGGCGAAGAGCGACGTCGGGCTTCGCTGCTGCGGTCATTTTCCATGCGTAGCCTGGATTTGGTTGGCTCTTATGTACAGTAACCCTTTTCATTAGCACCAACACAAGTTGCTCCGTCGAAGTAGTAATGTTAAAAATGACCGACGTGTGATGTCCCCTTCAAATTTCGATGTGATTGTGTTGTGTGCGTATAGAAGGCCTCTTACTATTGGTTGACTAATAGAGGGGATACTCGGATACCCCCAAATGTACAACCAATAGGTACATGGTATTACATGGTACCAAACCGACCCCCTCTATTCTTCTCAAAAGGACACCACTTCGGTCACATTGTAGATTGAACGATCCGCCAGCGCAGATGCCGGACTTCACCTGGACGAGCCCTGAGCGCTGCGAGGTGCTGCGAAGCTTCACTTGGCCTCTTGGACGGAACGGTCCATGGCACCGATCCATCGGTGTTGGGGGCACCGTGCCACCATCCACCGATGGATCGGATGCTACGTGCAAAACAACCACTGGTGCAGCAGGGGGCTTGTTTTTTGATTCACACCCACATTGGGTTGGAGGGAATGGTTGGCAGCCCGGCAGTTGAGGACTTTGATAGGAATGCTTAAGCGCTTGTGGATGAATGTCCAACTTGGAGTTGCGATGTCCAACGCAATTGGCGCTAGCCTGTTTGGTCCGTACGAACTCTGCAAGCCCAAACCAATAGAAGATCCCTCCAGCATGTTGGCCTGTTTTCCAGCAGTTGTGTCGCATCTGAGGCTAATGGCCAGCCTTTGCCGGGGCATGTGGCGTGCTTAAGAACGTAAGAACCTGTTTTCGATTGGTAAGACAGCAAGAGGTTTCATACAGCGTTCCCCGACCATACGAGACCGAAAAAGTGCCCAAGTGTTGTCATTCTCACACCAAAAGACAGTTCCAGTTATTCAGTATTCTTCTTCTTCTTCCAGTTATTCTCGAAGGCAATCCCCGATGCTTGAGAAGGTGGATGCTGCCTTTGACTTCTTCCCACAGGTTCGGCTGAAGGGGCTGAAGGGAGGGATGGTGACCGGATGCTGCATAGAACACGAGCTGCACATTTATTGTGCAGGTGATAAGAACTCACGTGCGGATTTCCTGCGTTTCGTAGGCGCCCAAAGCAGAAGCGGTCCTCATGAGGTGCTCATGAGGTTGATGTTTGTGTCCGGGATGGTTTCCTGGTGGTGAAGCCGCACGGGCAGGTCCTTTCTGGCACATTCCCTGATTTGATCAGGTCCTGCTTGGCACGACCGATGCGGAGATGTTGAGCAATGCCCATCCCAAAGACCTCGAGAAGACTTGAACCTCAGATTTGCCATGATTTGCAATAGCACACCAAGGCCACCTGGGGCCTTTGTTATTTGTTGCAGGGTGCTGAAGAGGACGGAGGGGGCATCATCTGGGACGAAACATGTTTGATGAACCGAATGCCTTGGAAATATGCTTCTGGGAAGGACTCTGAGGGCTGCCGGCGTGCTGTGCGGATTTTGACTGCTGGCTTTCAGGGTGAAGAGGCCGCAGACCTTTCATGTTGTTGGTCTTTCAGACCTTCCTTTTAGTTCCAGGTGCCGACTCCACACCCTTTGCTGCAGCAGGCTCACGAATCCGGGTCAAGAGCTTGTTCAGGACGCTTGTTTGGCTGTGCTTGTATGCGCAAGTGAGACTTGACTCAAATGTTTGAGTACACTGTCTACTTGTGATGTTTTGCCACCAGAAGCTTGAACATGTATATAATTCTGTCAGAAGTCAGAAGTGGAGGATAGGCTTTCTGCACAGGTAGTTCGCTGTATGCGAATGGTTGGGGACTGGAGGCCACATTGCTGATGTCAGTAAATGAGACTCTTCAGTGGAAGCCTGCAGAATATTCATCACAGGTGCCCTTTGCCTAGTGCTGCCTTACGATTGGCAGGAGAGGGCTGTTTGAGACTCCAATGATCTGTGATGCGTCATATTCTTGCACCAAGTGATGTGGGGTTCGGAAACATAATACTTTTGTGACTAAGAAACATGTTCCACCTTTCGTGAACATACTGTCAGATTGATGCACATTCACCTTGCGCCTGATAGGCATGCTGGTTCACTTGTCAGACAGCAGCTTCACTGACGCACTGTTGGCAGCTGGACTCCTGGGTGCCAGCGGCTGAGTGCTCTTTCTGAGACTAGTCTCGAGGGCCTGCCATTTGCAGGCCATGTCTGTAGTCATGAGCTGTGTCTCGGGTGGTGCAACTGAGGCTTTGCATGCAGATCTCGTGGATTCCTACGCTCCTGTCCAGGTCCTACGCAGTGTCTCTCTAGTAGCTATCATTCAGAACAACTGCAGGGCAAACCCAAGAAACGACAACAACGCCACCTAGGCAGGTGCTCACGAATCTCAACACACACACACACACACACACGACACACGACACACACACACACGACGCACAGACAGACACACACACACACGACACACTTAGATAATGGGTTTGCAGTTAACTCTGTTCCTCAGGAAAATGGACGATGGAACCGCAAGGGGATGAAGTCAGCTTTTAACAGAATGTTCACGTGTCTGCAGAACGCGCGGCAGCTGAAAGCGGCTGAAGGAAAAAAGGTTTGGGGGAAGTATCGTGGAAAAGCCATGAATCAAAGCGAGAAAATTGGAGTAACAGCTTGGACAACAGTTCAAACAAGCAGGTGCACCAGGTTGATCTGGCTTCCACTATCACGCATAGCTTCGTTGGCATGCGTTTGCGTGATAGCCGCATGCCCCCTGCTTGTGGAAAACTGTTAGAAACAGAGTGTGACACACACACACACACTTAGTCACAGGTTTACCCAGTAAGATAATCCACGGTGAAATGGACCGTGGAACGGAATGGTGGCTGAGCCCGCGGGAGCAAAATGTTTGAACAGTGGCGGCTTCACTTGACTACAGAAGCGCTGAGCGGCGACGCGGCTGCAAATCCGCGGTGGAAAAACGAAAGTTTAGGGGTCTATCATGAAAGGACCCAGCGGCAGGGTGGACCAGTGGTGTCATTGTTGAAAGCAGGTACGTCAGTTCCGCGTCCGGAACTGATATCCTGGTCAGCTGCCTAGAGCTTCGCTGGCGACAGCTATGCAGTGACCCTGTCTCCCCCTGCGTGAATATTTGTGCAAAAGTGGAACCTGGTAACAAACTCCTAGATACGGAGGGTGACACACACACACTCTGACATTGGGTTTGCAGTTAACTCAGTTCCCAGGTCGAAGAAAGGTGATGGAACAGAAAGGCGAAGCGTCCAGGCACTTGAAGGTGTTTTAACAAAGTGGTCTTCCTCGTGACTGCAGAACTCAGCGGTGGCGAAGCGAGCGGCGCGGTGCAGCTGCAGAAAAGACCAAGGTTTCGGGGGTGGTAGCGTGAAGAACCATGGAACCAAACAGAGCAAATTGGACAGCGTGGTCAACAGTTGCTCAGCAGGTACGTCACTGGACGTTTCCAGTGATATCAGTACCGCCACAGAAGCCTCTTCGTTGGACTGTCACTTCTGTGGGGTAGACAGTCCCCCTGCTCGAAACATTTAAGTGGAAAAAACTCTTAGGTACAGAGTGTGACACACACACACACACTTTGTATCACTTTGTGTTGGTCAGGTTTTTGCCAACTTTGTTTTGCTATTTGTGGAGAGGTGCGCCGTGATGCTGCCTGGGTCTTGGCCAACGTGGCGGCTGGCAGCTTGGCACAGGCAGGACGCGCCGCAGAGAGCGTCCGAATGTGCAGCATGTTACAATGGCATCATTGGGTAGTTGTTTTTCAAGTGACAGTCGGAACCTAGCCGCTTTAGACTCTAGACCTCTCATACAGCTCAGTTGGGCGAGTGCGAGGCCCAAAGCCTGGCTGAGCAACCTGGTTTGGTGGAAGCGCTTTGTGACCAGGGTCCCACCGAGGCGGTGAATGGGGATTGTGATTCACTCATTCCACTTCAGGGCAAGACTCGCAGAAAGTATTGACGGTCTTGGCAGATGCCTGTGGATTCCAAGTTATTGTGAGTCAATGACAATCACGTGAGTCTCAAATCAAGAGCAGTAGAGGAAATACTCGACGGGGCATATCTCAAGTGGTGAAGACATTACAGCCCCCAAAACGCCCACCGTTGTGCCTCTGCTGAAAGATCAAACGCCGCTGATGAAAGCTGCTCACGTTTGCAAAGCCGCTCAAACGTCTAGCCCCTCTGCTCTAGGTTCGTCAGGAGTGCACCTGGGCTATTCTCAATCTGTTGAAGCCGGGGACCCGATCGGAAGCATTTGCAGACACCTCTGATCGAATTGTTTCCAACAGAAAAGGTTCGATTCAATGCGCCTACATTTCTACAGTTTTGTTTGTATTGACTTGGTTGTAACGTTTGTATAGACTGAGTTGTGGGAAACATCGGCAATCGCTTCGATCCTTGCTGGGCCCGACTCTAGGCATGGTCCAGACATGTTTGTGCGCATGGGTGTTCATCGCGCGCGGAATCCCGGCTGGAAAGTAAGTGATGGTCATTACGGTTGGTCGATGTCCTTCTGGATTGACTGCTTCGAATGCTGCCCAGACTGCTCTCCATGTGTTCCAAGGGTTTCCGCTTGTTTGAGGTCCAAAGCATAGCCTTTTTGTGGACCAAGCAGTGGTGAACACTTGCAACGGGACAAATACGGGGTGATGTTCAATCATCGTCGCCTGGTCCATCTTCTAGGAGCCAGTGGATGCGGTTTCATGGCGTTTTGAGGTGGTTTGCATTCTGACGAACGCTCTTCAAGCTGACACGGTCCAGACCTCAGTGGCAACACTTGTCATAGCGGTCGACTCCAGTGCGTAGTCTGTCTTTAGAGGGCTATTCACCAGTCAATGCTTCTCAAAACCTCTATCACATTCTTGGACTGAGGAGCCTGCCCTGCAGCGGTCCGCAATGGAGCACTTGGAGTTGCTCACGCAAAAGCTGCAGACACCAGAGGCATCGCTGCAAATGGAAGCAATGATTTGAAGAGATGTCCGCAAAGAAAGACTCCAACACTTTCCAAGGAATTCAGCACCAACGCCTATCTGTTTTAATCATGTGGTTTGCAGCTGTCCGGATTTTCAACCTTATGACTCACGACTTTCGGAGGCAGGTGGCCTTGTGGGCAAACTGCAAGGGTGGGATCCTAAGAAGATGGAATTACTGTACTGATGTGAACCAATATTTGTTTGTTGTACTTTGTTAATGTTTGATTTGTCTCTGCTGTTTTTGGTATCTTGCGCTCTAGGCTGTGTCATTCGTCGGACGGTGCGATCCTGCAAAAGGCTGTCACAGATCGAAGAAGACAAGCGCATTGAGCAGCTTCAGAATTGGATAGAATAGGTGGTTATATATTCGACAGGCACGATTCCTGCTTCAGAACTTCTTCCCTTGGCAGGGAATGCCTGATGTTTCCTCACTTAGAAGCAAATCATCAAACAAAACAAAGATATTAACATTTGTTGATTTCGTGATGAAATCATGTGCCACCATGACTGAAAGCATGGTATGTGTTTCATGATATCCTGTCTGCCCCAACCGAACCACCATTAGGGGTGGGAACTGCGCACGACTTGAAGCCATGATGGAAAATAGGGAGCGCTGACTTCGTGGGCATCGCTTCGACCGATCTTCGATTGGAACTTCGAGTGTTCGATCGTCTTCCTTTCTACAGCTCCAGCTACCAGAAAGTGACATTGGTAGCGGAGCTCCCATCCAGGGAGCTCCCGCGCCACTTCGCTACAACACAACCTACACATACAACACAACCTCCACTAACTACAACTACATCCATCTCTTCTTGCCTGACGAGACCTTTGTTCTTGTCTCCTTGGCAGGTGAGTTCACGCAGTGCGGCTGTGGGACGTCCATCGTCCTGAACGATGGCCACGGCTGAAAAGGAAAAGAAGGCTGACCTTGACTTTGTGTCAGCCCGAGACTCCTACATCCCCTTGTTCGATGGTACCTTGAGTGGCTATCGTGAATGGCGCAAGAGGATTCTCATTTACTACAAGAAGATGTGTTTGAGCAAGCGCCAAGGCGAGGCCATCCTGAACTTGCTTGGTTCGCTAAGCGGAACCGCTTGGAAACTATGCGAGGACTTTGACATCGAACAAGCAGAGAACGACAAAGCACTGGATCACATCCTGACCCGCCTTGATTCTGCCTTTCGCTATGATAGTAAGGTTGAGCTTCCTGCGGACTTTTCCGCCTACTTTGAGCACCTCCAACGGCGGCAGGGTCAGACGCTCCTCCAGTTTGTGACCGACCATGACGACAAGTTGAAACAAGTTGAGAAGCACGGAGTGAAACTTCCTGACACCGTGCAAGGCTGGCACCTCCTGGCCAAATCTGGCCTGACTCGTGAGCAAAAGCAGATGATCATGACGCAATCTGCGTCCCTTGAACGTGCAAAAGTTCAACAAGCTATGTATGCAATCCTAGGCCAAGACTACAAAGGTGGCGGACAGTCTGTCAACAGTCGTTGGCAGCGCCCTTTCAACTCGACCGGCAAGGGTCGAGGCTACTTCGCTGGCGATGACAACGCAGCTGACCTCACTTGGGACAACCCGTCTGCTGAGTGGGAACCCGAGGATGAGGGCACCTACTACCTTGACGATGAGCAGGGTGATGAATGGTATGATGAATTTGATGACGATACCGCCTACTTCCAAGAAGAGTGCGACACCCAAGAGCATGATGGTGAATTTGATGTCTCCGAGTATGACGAGGCCTATGCCACCTACACGGACGCCCGCAAGAGGTTCAATGACCTCAAGATGAGCAGGGGTTTCCTGCCCATCGTGGCCCTGCAGGACCAATCTTCGACAGCAACTTCATCTCAAGCACCTCGACCTCAGTTCGGCAAGGGATATGGTTCTGGCTTTGGAAAGGGCAAAAAGGGCAAGTCCAAAGGAAAAGGCAAAAGCAGCACCTACCGCTACAACAAGCCTCCTCACAAACAAGCTGATCCCAAAGGTCGTGCTCGAAGCGCATTGGCTCCTGCCTGCATGCGATGTGGCTCAACTGCACACCGAACGGCTCAATGTAATGCTCAGTCCAGCACTCCAAAGCCTTCAACGACTGGTTCTGGCAAGCGTCAAGCCGTTGAGAGTGTTGCCACACTTGCAGATGAGCAGTCCATGGTCATCTTTGAGGATTCCTATGGACGCGAACGACCTGACTGTGCCATGCTAGACCCTGGAGCATCGAGCTTCCTCATGGGCAGTGGACCTCTCATCCGGTATGTGCACCACCTGAAGCAGCTCGGCTTCGACACCAATGACCTCCAGTTGAACCGCTGTGAACGGACTTTCCACTTTGGAGGAGACCACCAAAAGGTCAGCGCATGGACCTGCAAGCTTCCGTTCTACATCAACAACACCTATGGAGTGGTGCAAGGATTTGTTCTGAAGGGTGAAACGCCCATGTTGATTGGACGACCTGTCATCCAAGCCCTGGAGATGACGATTGACTTCTCGCAGCAGCGTCTGAAGTTTGGTGATCACCCGTGGCAACAAGCTGTTCTTGGCAAGCGCGAGGAATACCTCCTTGCTCTCACGGACACCTTCGACAGCGATCAGTTGTCAATGGAGCCAAGCTTCGACCTACAGCTTGAAGAAACTCTTGGCGATCCTGGCACCTTCGACGACTTCCTCACTGAAGAGCACATCTACCAAGTCGAAGAATCCATTGAGGACCAAGGGTCTCCCATGCCAATGAAGCGTTGGAAAACGTTGATCTCCAACTCACAGACTCAGCTGAACCGACTTCATGCCTATGTGGACAACGTGATTCGTGAAGAAGGCCATCCACCACCTCGAGTTCTTTGGGAAGTCTATGCTGGCAAAAGCAGACTCTCGCAACTGGCCGAAGCATTGGGCATGAAGGTCGAAGTCTTCTCCTTCGCCACTGGTTGGAACTTCAGCTTGGCAAGCCACCGTGCATTGTTCACGCAGCGCCTTCAAGAAGAAGAACCTGATGAGTTGTTCTTGTCTCCGTCATGTGGCCCATGGAGCAAGATGCAAAACATCTCAGCCACTACTGAGCAGAGAAAAGAAGCACTGTACACTCTTCGTGAATGGCACCATCGTGTACACCTTGGCTTTTGCAAACAAGCATACTTGCAGCAAGTTCAACATGGACGCCATGCACATCTTGAACAACCAACTCAAGCACTCTCATGGAGCACCAACGCCTTGAAGCACCTTCCAGGTCACAACGCTCGTTTTCATCAATGTCGCTATGGTTGCGTTTGCTGTGACACTGATGGAGTTTGGCGGCCCGCCAAGAAGGACACAACCATTCGCACCACGAAACGAGCTGTGGCTGAAAGCATGAACCTCCTATGTGACCATAGTCATGAACACTGTCGCCTTGAAGGACATATCCCAGGCATTGGCAAGAGAACCTCCTACATGGAAGATTACCAACCTGCCTTTGCAGCTGTTCTGGGCACCGCAATCAGTGCATGTGAACGACCTCAAGCTTGGGATGGCGCTTTCGCCGTCCAAGAGATGCAGTCCTACCTGGGCAAACTGGTCGATCTTCATGCTGAAGGAAAACAAGAAGCCTTGAGAGTGGTCCAAAAGCTGCATAGAAATCTTGGGCATCCATCCGCCCAGTCCTTGGTCGATCTTCTCACGGCCCGTGGAGCAAGTGCTACAGTCCTCTCCGTTGCTGAGAACTACTTGTGTTCGTCGTGCTTGCGCTACAAGAAGCCAAATCAAGCAGCGCCTGCATCGATCAAGGAGGCACAGCACTTCAACCAGGTCGTACAGAGCGACGTTTTCTGGATCAAGTTGGGTAAGAAGAAGATGCCTATTCTGGCCATCCTTGATGTTGCTACTCGATTTCAAGCAGCAGCCTTGTTGGACAGTGAACGCACTCAGGACTACATCAAGGCCCTTGAACGACATTGGGTAGCACACTTTGGTGTTCCTCAGCAGCTCATCACTGATGAAGGTCGTGGTTGGCTCAGCGATGAGTTTGGTCAATGGACTGATGAGCATAGCATCCTGCACAACGTGGCACCTGGCGAAGCACATGAGCGCCTTGGACATGTTGAAAGACGCCACTCCGTTTTGAGAAAAGCCCTCGAGGTCTACATGCATGATTTGAGCCTCGAAGATCGTGATGGCGTCAAACAAGCCCTGGCCTATGTTTTGCCTCAGCTCAATGCTCAGCCGACCGTTTCTGGCTACTCTCCAACGCAGTGGGTACTTGGCTATCAGCCTGCTCAACCCGGACTACTCTCCTCAGCTGACTGTGCACTGAAGACCTCTGATGATTTTGAAGAACATCTACATTGACGCAACATGGCAAAGACCGCCATCATCCAGGCGGACACCGATCGTCGTTTGAGACGTGCACTGTTGAGGAGGTATGCAGGAACAAACCAACGTCTTCTACCTGGACAGATCTGCCACTACTGGAGAGACGCTCAACAAAATGATCTGTGTAAGATCAGGTGGCGTGGTCCTGCAAAAGTGGTCTGCGTGGAGGAGAAAGACGGCATGCCATATGTCTATTGGTTGGCTCACAAAACTCAACTCATTCGAGCAGCTCCTCACCATGTGAGACCAGAGTTCAACCACCTCGAGAACACGGCAGTTGAGAACCTTGAAGATGCAAATCGTGTTCTGCAATCCTTGAAGTCTCGTGGAGTCACCCGCTTCATCGACTTGGACAAGGTCAACCGCCAGAATCTCCTCGACGTTGATGAACATGAAGAAGAAGAAGACCTTGATGAGCCGGACTCCAAAAGACGTCGACTTGAGGAACTACCGCTGGAAATTGAGGACTACACTCCGTCCATTCCAGATGAAGAATTCCATACGACTCCCGCGGAACCATCAAGTGCTCCTGACCTACCTGGACCTCCTGCAGAACATGAAGAACCAGAGACACTGGCAACAGAACCTTCTACACCTTCTGTTGTTCCAGCTCTACCTCCTTCAGCACTACCTGCAGTACCAGAGATCAGCGACATGGAGTCGGAACCTTCTGCTGAACCTGTTCCACCAACACCGCATGCAAGTTCTGAAGCTGCTCCATCATTGGATCCTGTCACTCAGGCTGCATTTCAGAAGCCCGAGAAACCAGAGACCTTCCAGCAGCAGCGTATGCGTCTTGATCGACAGGAAACTATGTCCTTTGGTCCACAACGAACAGCGCGTGCTTCAATGACTCCCTACATGAAGCCACCTCAGCCAGAGAATGCCGAGACAGTCTTTGAAGTGGAGGATCTTGATGCAGATTCCCTTCCACCTGGATGGATCTTCCAGAAGGACACCAAGACCTTGGAACTGAAGAGCTCCTTGAAAGACTTCTGGGAAATCAAGGGTGGCTGTCTCATCCGTCATCACGTGAATCCACGATCCAAGCTCTTCGACATCCGAGACCGTCGAGACCTACCAGTTCCTGTAGAAGACCTCGATGATGTGCAAGTGACGGTCTACCGTGAGCCAGGATCCAATCCTCACTCGGTGACGAACCACTTCAAGACCGAGAACATCTTCAAAAGCACCAAGAACTCCAAGAACGCTGCACCTGTTCCAAAGAAATGGATTGGTCAGACCATCTTTCAAATCACTGCCGCGAAACGACAAGAGTGGGGCATGACTTCATCATCTACAACCACATCAGCGACATCTATGCGCCTTGTGAGAAAGGCAGCCCAAGCAGCTAAGACTCATCACATCCGGCAGGTGAAGAAAGATAAAGGTGAAGTTCGTGAAAAGAATCTCAATTCAGCTGAGCTCCAACTGTTTTACGAGGCCAAGTGCAAGGAGCTGAAGAGTTTCTTTGAGAATGGTGTTTGGGAGTTCTCCTCAACCTCTGAGGCCGATCCTGATCGAACGTTGACGAGCAGGATGCTTGGATGCTTTTGAAGTGGTCAAAGAATGCTGATGGCAGTCCGAGAGCTAAGGCACGCCTGGTGGTCAGAGGCTACAACGACATCGACGCATTGTCTGGACAGCTTGATACTGCAAGCCCTACAGCCTCGAGATTGGCCAGGTCACTCCTTTTGAGCATTTCAGCGATGCTTCGTTGGCATGGCTGGTCAGCTGACGTTGCAACTGCTTTCTTGCAGGGATTGCCACAACAGAGGAAACTATGGCTTCGTCTTCCGGCAGATTGCAATGCCATCTTGGGATGTCAACCCGAAAGTCGCATGGCCTTGATCAAGCCCGTGTACGGACAACTTGATGCGCCCAGACGCTGGTGGCTTGAAGCCAAACGTCGGCTCACCCAAGAAGGTTGGCGATCTCATGAGCTTGATCCTTGCCTCTTCACGCTGCACCATGAAGAACCCTGCGGTACAGTTCGACCATGCGGTATGATCTGTCTACATGTTGATGACATGCTTGGTGCAGGAGATCGCAATTGTCAAACCTACTTGACAGCCGAAAGCCGACTCAAGGAGATCTTTGACTTTCGAACCTGGCAAGAAGACTCTGAAACCATGGAGTACTGCGGAGTGACTCACAACCGCTCCGACTTTGCCTGGTCCCTCTCCCAGAAGAACTTCATCCAGAAAGTCAAACCGGTGACCATACACCGAGGTCGTGGACCAGAAGATGAAATGAATGAACGTGATCGATCACAACTTCGTGCACTGTTGGGAAGCCTTCAGTGGCCAGCAGTTCAATCACAACCACATCTCCAATGCAGTGCGAGCCTCATCAGCGGACAGCAGAAGACCAACAAGCTGAGAGCCATTATCGAAGGGAACTCTCTCCTACGCTTTGCAAAGGAAAATAGCGACATCAATTTGCGCTACGAGCCCTTCGAGTCCATTCACTCTTGGCAAGACCTCAGCAAGGCTCGACTGAGTGTGATGTTTGACGCAGCACATGCAGTGAGGGAAGACCATTCTTCTCAAGGAGGCTTCATCGCCTTCATCACGCCCGACACTGTCTTCCATGAAGAGACCTCCTACCACGTTGTTGATTGGAGATCGTTCAAACTGCCACGTGTTGCGAGAAGCAGTCTCAGTGCTGAAGCCCAAGCCGCTGGACAAGCATCAGACGCCAGCGAATACATAGCTCGATTTTGGTCTTGCATCATGAACCCCAACATGGACCTCCGTGATCGCCTCCAAGAAAAGTCAAGCTTGTGTCCAACATTGATCACGGACGCAAAAGCGTTGTACGATGCATTCCACAAAGAGTCCTCCTCAACCAGCTCCTCAGTTGACAAGAGAACATACCTGGAAATCCGGGTAGCAAAACAGCAGATCACCGAGCTGGGTGGCAACTTGCGCTGGGTCTCCAGCGAACGGCAATACGCCGATGGACTCACCAAAACAAGCACGAGATCTTTGCTGGCTGATCGTTTGCGCTATGGACGCATCAAGCTGGTTTGGGACCCCAGCTATGTCAGTGCAAAGAAGAAAACGAAAGAAGAGAGAGACAAGAGCAAACAAGAGTTCGCAAAAGAGCATAGCAAGAAGAGAACCACAACAACAGCCACAATCCACAAAACACAAACAAGCACAACAAACAACACCACACAGGCAGAACAGGAGTTCGATGACCTTGAACGGACTCCGGTTCAAGCAGTGGCGTGGAACAACACACCTTCTTCATTGAAGACTCCCTTGACAGCCTTGGTTTGCTACACCCAGGTCAGAGCCGTGTTGGCTGGCGACAACTTCATCCAGGCCTTGGACATTGACACATGCCCTGTTGAGCAAGAGTATTTTTGGTCGCCCTTGACTGTACTCTGCACGCTCCTCATGCTCTTCTCAGCGATTCTGAGCTTTGCCAGCTACAAGTTTGGCAGGTTCCTCGAGCGCTGCCATTGGCGCAACTTGGTCAACACCCGAATCCGGGTGACGACAGGTCGACATGAGAGACATGAGCAGGCCCTGAAGGACCAGCTGAGAGATCTTCATCTCCAACATGTGGAGAAGGTTTGTGAGCTCGAAGAGCGACTTGCAGAGCTGACCACGCGCAACCAGTTTTTGCGCACAGAGAACGATGCTGTGTTGGCAGAAAACCATGCCGACCAAGATGAACTAGCAGAGCTCAACGAACGGCATCGCCGCAGCTGTGCGCTCTTCACGAGAGCCTTTCGAGAGATCCAAGGGCACCTGGAAGACTGCCCGCTTGAGCATGGTGTAGTGACCACACCTTTTGGAGCCGCCTGGCATGCTGAAGAGACATGTCGCGGCACTTCCCGCTCCGGCCGTGTTGTGAGACGACACGCCTGTAGTTTTTGTGGTCCTGGCGTCCAGACGCCTTTTGTTACAAATTCTGTGAGCGGCACCACCTTGTACGAAGATTTTCAAGAGTTTGTAAGAGAAGAGGGCAGGTGCTCGTATGAAGAGTGGATTGTGGACTAATTTGGTCGAAACAACCACCGATGTTGATTTCGTGATGAAATCATGTGCCACCATGACTGAAAGCATGGTATGTGTTTCATGATATCCTTTCTGCTCCAACCGAACCACCATTAGGGGTGGGAACTGCGCACGACTTGAAGCCATGATGGAAAATAGGGAGCGCTGACTTCGTGGGCATCGCTTCGACCGATCTTCGATTGGAACTTCGAGTGTTCGATCGTCTTCCTTTCTACAGCTCCAGCTACCAGAAAGTGACAACATTCATTGCTTCAAGCACAAGATATGTTGCACGACCAGCTGCTGAGGACGACATGAGCAACAACCTTTCCAGGTCAACCTGGCTTGGAGAAACAGGTAAACTTGCCACATGAGCAGAAGGTACACTCCCGGCAAACTGGGGAAAGGAACATCATCTTCCTATCTTGGAAGGGGATCCTATTTGTTTTCGGAGGGGTGAAGACTGCCTGTGGCCAGGAGTGGCTAGCGAAGCCTTGGAGGTATTGGAGGTTCACCTAGGGTGGCTCAAAGCACAGGAGCTGCTTTTGCCAAGTACGAAAGTGGAAGATGTTGTTGCTCCAGTTTGGCCAGTTTGACCAAATGGGGCAAGTTGCAAAGCAGCAGTTCTTTGTCAACAGGACCTCGAAACCCGGTCAATGATCAAGTTTGCTCGGGCCCTGGCGATCCGTGAGGTTTCTCGGCTGCGCAGATCGAAACTTTGAGGGTGCTGCGTGAGACTGTTGCCTAAGGTGTAAACACCTGTTGCTCAAAGCGACTGCGGTAGCCATAGCCTCAAACCAGAGCTGTTCCTTGTGCTCCTTAGCCATGAGAAGGCTTTAAGATGTTTTGAAAGGTCCTGACAGATGTTCAACCAGGTTTTTGTGAAATAGTATTTCAATTGATGCAGGGCATTTGGCCACTTGAGGTCAGGTCAGCAACAGAAGGATTCGTCTCCGACGTTTTGCACGTGCAGCAGGATGATGGACAGCTGCATCTCGCGAGTCTGCCGAAACCGCAAGCCTCTCTAACATAGGAACCCATGAAACAACTCTTTGATACCTACACCAGCGACTGATTCCGGTGCTTGCCTACATTGCATTACTGCAGTGACCTGCCAGAGCAGAGACTCAGAGAGTGCAGCTGTTCAGCTAATTCAATGAATCGCAAGCACACCTTCGGTCCATGTGGCCATTGCACGCCAACCACCCCCTTTTCCGGGTGGTTGATGAGTACTTCTTCGAAGCAAATCGAAAGGATACTCATCAGAATCATGGCTTATGGATGCAGGAAGGACAACCAATTCATGTCCAAATAGAATCACTGGACAGCCTTTGAAGGCCGCCGTGGTACAGAGCTCCACAGAAAAATGCGGTGAATACTTTACGCAACAATTACTCACTGTGTCAAGCTAACAGACATTCATGAGCTTAAGCTGTACACAGATCATGAGATCATGAGACATCCTGCACAGTTTGATTCTGCAGTTGCCCTCGCGTCATGCAGCGAACCATTATGAAAGGTATTTCTCGACTCTCGACTGCCCAAGATTTGGCATTCTACTCCGCTGCCAAGAATCTCGGAGGTGGAGTAGCGTGGCGGTGACCCATGTGTCACAAGCCGTGCGCGAAGCGCAACAATGCCTTCGCCCAAAGCTTACAAGTGAAGGAAAACACAGGAAAGCAACATAGAGTAGAAAAGAGCAGAGAACATCCAGCGTGAGAAAGGATCAGAAATAATATACACGTACACCTTTGCACCATTTATCTTGGGCACACAAGTGCCTTTGTGAGGCTCGGTGAGGGTGAGGCCTCCGAGAGCAAGTGTGGAGCCCAGTCTGGCCTGGACAGAGCTTCAGAAGGCCTCAAAGATGTCAAGACATGCCCGTCAAAGAAGGTTGTGTCAGAATTCTCACTGAATTCTTGGAACCACAAGTTGCACAGACCATGAACATTGCAGCGTATTCAAGACTCGTGCAACAACTCTTGATAGAGCTGATATATATATATATTGATATACTTGACTGCTTCTGCCTTGGGGAGATCATGGGAGATCTAGACTTTAAGGTCTCGGGGCCGGTTCAAACGACCAGCGCAGCTGCTGGAGGGGCTAAAGGCATCAAGCTCAGTGACAAGAGCGGAAGCAAAGCTTGCTGATCCACTGATCTAGTGGAACGATTAGACCAGGTGGTCGTGAATCCCAGCGTGGAGGTTCCCTATCGAATGATCCATCCCAGACAGTGTGATCTCCCGATTCGAACACGCAAGAAACGCAATATTGGCTCCTTTCTGACTCGCATGTTTGTGTTAAGGCAAAAGTTTCAGAGGCAGTGTGGAAACCAAAGGCAGGCTTCAGTGAATGTAGAATGTGTCGGATTATGCGAATTGCAAGAGGCAGGCAATGTTGGTTGTGTAACTGCATCAACAGCCCATGGCACTCTGTCTTTTCCTTCGGTATGTTGACACTCACGTAAGCTCCAGGCACGAGGCACTCCCATCGTCTCCATTGCAAGAGCGCGCAGCTCACTCTTTCTAGAAGAACATCCCATACAATATATCGCATGGCCAGTGTATTTATACAGCTCATTCTCATTGTTGTATCTTGTTGTTCTTGTGCGCGCTCTACTGCTTAGACTTGAAGCTGCTCCAAGTCTGCTCAGGGGACAGGGTCACGCGTAGCAGCGGATGAGGTGCCTTTGCAGATGCAATGCACTAGACATCATGGAAAACCTGCGTGTGGCCAAAAAAAAATCATTCACGGTTTTCCATGAGAAAAACATGACCGTTCGGGCGATTCGAGCGCAGCAAACATGAGCTAAAGCCTATGCCATGAGCCAGTCGTAGCGAGCATCCCTTGGACGCAGGCGCCCAGACCACCCAGGCCATATGCAAGGCCGGGTATGGGCAGCCCTCCCGGATATCGCGAGTGGGAAGCCTAAGGGGGGTGCTTGACATTGCCTAATTGCCTTGCTAAGCTTCGTCGAACGCTGCTTTAACACTTAAAGAGTCTTTCCTTGTGGATATCTGAGTGCCAGTGCCCAGCCGACAACCAAACCTGACACAGTGATGACGCCAGACCTCGTGGCTTCTTCTCCGCTTTCACGACACGAAGAAGCGCTGTTTTTTCGACCCCTAAGGCCCTGGCAAGATGGGAGTCCCAGCCCGGCCATCCAGAGACATGGAGCCGCTGGCTGTTTCTGTGGCGCTATGAGCGCTGCTCAGAGCGCTGCTCAGAGCGCCATGAGACCCAGCTCCAGCCGCTCCGGCCGCTCGGGGAACTCCTATGGCTCAGAGGGTGATGGAATGGCCTTCTACAAAGAGGCCAGAAAGAACCAGAGAGTGAATCAATTCACCACAATTCACATATGGAATTGGCATGAATTGGCTTTCTCCACCGTCGTACCTCTTTTTGAGACAAAGCCTTGTAGGTTTGCGGACAAAGGTTAGCTTCCACAATGTTCCACATTGAATCCTCAAGACGTATCAAGCCATTTTTCCCCAAACAGTTTACTGTTGGGGTTCTATCTTAGAAAGAAAGAGCTGGCCACACTCACTGGCTGCGCCCCTGAACTCTGTGGCTGGGCTCTGTGTCCAGGCATTGTCCTCCTTTTGTCCTCTGTGGCTGGGCTCTGTCAGTGGCTGGGCCTTGTCCTCTTCTTGTCCTCCTCTTGTCTTGGCCGCGCCCCTGAACTCTGTGGCTGGTCTCTGTGGCCCGGGTTACTGGAGAGGAGTGTGGCCGAACAAATAGCGATGTCAATGCCGACAAAAATTCATTGATGAAGCAGTTTGCTCTTGGGGTGAAGGTAGGGCGCGCCAAGAAATCGATGTTTGACTAATATTGGTCTCAACAAATCGCTTTGAAGCTGTTTGGGGTCTATGCTTGTATAATTGTTGAAGATTCTCTGAAGCTCACCTTTGACTTCGCATGTCAGGTGCCAAACTTCTACATGGAGGGTATGAGCGACTCAACTCCCACCTGGACGGAAGAATGCCGTGCATCTTCAGTCTGCTCCAGCCCGGCTGTCTATGAGGAGTCCTTCTTACCATCACCCATCTTGCGTCGAGCTCCACCGGTGAGACAAGTCTACTACTTGTATGCCTCGCCGCTGGACTATCCACCCATTGACGTGAGGTCTGAGGTCGAGACCATCCATTATGCCTTCGTTGAAGCTTGCAAGCAATGGTGTGAAGACATGTGAAAATACATGAAAATACTATGTCACACGATTCAAGCAGCTTCAAGCATCCTCAAAGCATTGAAGGTCCATGGGGAACTCAGCGTGGTTTCCCTCCAAGATCTTCAGTACTTACTAGCGATGGCCTCCGACCTAGAATCGATGGCCTCCAACCTACTAGCGATGGCCTCCAACCTAGAAGCGTTCTTTTGGACATGAACTCTGATGTCATCCAAGGAGTCCGGTTCCAACGTGAAGCTGAATGTGGGTGTGGCCACCGTTGAATCCCTCACACATCTCTTGACCTTAGCACGTTCGGGCTTAGCCTTGCACCTCTCGGCCCACGCGGTCTGCTCCGAGAAGGCGGGCACCAAAAAGTGCGCGGAACCTGGACACCACCCGACAGTGCCCAGCGGTTGTGGGTCACGGGTCTCAATAGCTTCTAGCAGACTACTAGCTTCATCTTTCCTCTTGCTTCTGGGAGACTCTAGTAGCGATGCACTTGCGATCAGGGTCTTAGAGGTGTCAGGGTCTTAAAGGTTGGTCGGTCACTGCATTGATGTTCAGTGGAAGTAGTTGGATTCTTCCCACGATCGCCAGGGTGATGTTGGCCTTGTTCTTGAAAACCCCAATGGTTGCTCCCATGTCTTGTGGAAGAAGAACCTTGAGGACGGATGGTTGTCAAATGGAATGGATGCATTTCGATACGATATGCTGCAGCCTTTCCCTTGAGTATCCTCGCATAACCTTTGCCTCCAGAACGCCAGCCTTTGCCTCCAGGAAATCCTTGGAATGCGGGATCGAACAATGCAAAGCAACTCATTGCTCCTGGGTCCCAGAGAGATGTTTGCGGACCCCCTTCGGAACCCTTCGTAACATGTGGCGGACCTCCAGTTTGGAAGCTTGTTCAGCTCAACAGTTAGCTTGTTCAGCCATTGAAGGTATAGATTTAGATAGATGCCTATATTTATAGATAGAACATTGATTCCAACCTAATAATATGGCAATGGCCTCCAACCTACTAGCGATGGCCTCCAACCTAATACCTTTAGGAAATTGATTCCAACACGAGAAAAACATCCAAAGAATTGATTGGACTCACTGCAGAAGTTCTGACATTCTTTTGTTCCCGGCACGTAAGGCTCTTCCTGAGCACATGCTGGTCACAGGAACTGGCCCAGGTGAGAGTACAACACTTGACCAAGCAAATAATGCATCTTCATGTTTTATTTTTTTTTGGTGTGTTGGACGTGTCACAGGTCTTTGTGGAGTGTGGCTGTCCGCATGTGGTATCTTTGCGGACGCGAGTCAATGACATTGCAGCAAGGAGGCGCCATGAAAGTTTCGTTCAAATCTTGGTCATTCGCACTAAAATAGTGATGTCTTTCAGGATGTTCATCTCGAAGGAGTGGCCAATAGGGTTTTACACATTGTTTTGTTCTTGATCGCACTACACAAACAGGCAAACAACCTGAAGATGTTATTCTTTGGCCCCCCCTTTCGCACATGGCCGAAGCAGCGTTTTCGCAGGTTTTCGCAGCAGTTTTACCTCTCACTGGGCGTGGGTGAATCTCTGCTGTCTTCCTGGAAAGGGGCCAGGACAGTTTCAGATGAACGCAACAGACTATTGAAGTCATCTGAGAGATGACTTGCAAGACATTGTTGTTGGTGCTGATTTGATCTGATTTGCGGTCCAAATGCACACCACGGGTTCTTCTCAGCAGAAATCGTTCACTAAAAATGCAAAGCAAAGAGGTTGGAGCTTGGGGCTTCTTAGCGTCTGAAACAGCAAGTAGTCTGCTTGTATGCTCCAATCGCATACATCCATGAACTGGTGGCTTCAGGACTTGTTTGCGGAATCATCCGGACGCAGAAATCGGGGAGCAGGCATGTGCCACGTCCGTAGTTTTGCTTTGTGGGACAACTGGCCACAACTGTCTCAGGACATCAACATGCAATTTTTCGGCCCTTTTCCACCTTTCCCGAAGTTGAGTTTGCTTTGTTTTATGTAGTTTGTGACCATCAAGTTGTTTTGCTTTGTCACGTCACCATCTAGATTCTGAATGTTTTGGCCGTCAACCCAAAGACCCTTCATGCCCTTGCAGTCTCGTTGTGCAGATGCTTCATGATACTGTACTTCTATGTTCTTTGAATATCCTTGGAACGTTACGGAATCAATATTTGTGCAAGTGAAGCAAGAGAGCAGAGAGACTGGTCTTTGCATGGCCGCTTTGGGCAGTCTGACCACTTTGTCCTTTTCGGGCAGCATGCCGCGGACAAGGTGCGGATGTCCGGATCAGCGACCGATGGATCGCTGTTCGACCGATGTTCGACCGATGGATCGGGGCGAGCGCAAAGCCACGAACCCTTGAGGCCACACTTCAAGAGCTTTGCGGAGAGGCTTGGGGTATGGCCAAAGACAAATGCATTTTAACACAGTGAAATGTCTTATCAACAGCCAGGGAGATTTTCCCCAGATATATATTCCATCGTTTTTTTCAAGGTGCTTCGCCGTACATCATACCGTTCGTAATTTGCCAAGTTTGGTCCCGCCCAGGGCCAGGGCATGGATGCACATCTGCGAATGCTGGAGGCAATCTCATCAATTGCAGGGCCGCCGTGAGTGGGTATATACTCAGAAGAAAGACTTCAGAGTTGTTGACATGTGAAGATTTAACATCACCGCACATATTATATATATATATGTACACGTCGTTACACATCTGGAATGTCTTTTTCCGTGTTTTCCCGCAGGATGCTGGACGCTTCCTGGAGGTCAAGATGGTTCCAAGGCTTGGCATGATGAAGCATGGCAAGCTTCAACCTGAACCATGAAGAATACGTGAGAAGTACAAATTGGAGCGCAAAGAAGTTGGATTGGGCTTGCTCTGGGGCTGTAAGAGTGTTGAAAGAGTTAGACAAGGGTCATGTGCACACATGTGTTGAGTGTTGGCTAGATTGGGGCCTTTGTCCCCGTGGAGCATCTGTGAATGCTCAACTTCTCCCTTGCCGATTCTGCATGTGTGGCTTTTGTTGAAGGCTGCCAGCATCATACATGCAAATAGAGGTAATAGCTTCTTGTTACTACTAGTAAGGCACTTGTTCCTAGTAGCGATGCACTTGTTACTACATGCAAATAGAGGAAAGAATGATCTCAGAGGGAGTCATGGACTTTAGGTGTGCAAAGGAGTGAACGACTATGTGACGACGAACATTCTCACAGTTTGTCAGATCTATGTTACTATACTGTACACTGTATATATAATTATATAAGTTTTCATCAATGTCATAGAGATGGTTTCAAAGTTGGGGTTTTGCCACCTTTTTCAGGCCCTCCCAACCTTATCCTCCAAGCCAGAGGATTAACCCATTTGCAGGGATGCCACATGGACCGCCAGGCCAGAGCACTTCCTGGGCCGCAAGAACGATATCCACGAGGTGAGGGTCTCAAGGAACGGGTACGACGTGCACAAGTGCAACTGATTCAAAAGGATCTGGGGATCTGGGAAAAATCGCGACCGAAATTCATGGATGTTGGCCTGAAGATGGAATCTTCCGTGACCAAATGGCTTGACGGAACCACACGCCAGAAAGAAAAGTGTTCACTTTCGCAAGGGAAACATGGGATGGCCTGGAAAGGCTTTGGGAATGTCACAAAATCGACCTTTGATAGCTCAGGGATGGACAAAGCTTAAGCAAGTCGTGTTGTTGTCGAGAGTGCTTAATTGATGTCTCACAATCCCTCCATTTTTCGCGTTAGCCTCCGCTTCTTTGCCTGTGATTACATGGCATGTTTTCAACTGGAAGTCACCCCACCCCCACATCCCTTTGATATCCTTTGATCACATGGTTAGTAACAAGAAGTTACGAACGTCACAAAGGGCATCCTCGACTCGAACGGGTCACGGCGCCGGCGCGACGTGCTCGGCCCAGGTGATGCATCATTTCACTGGCGTCCAAAGCAGACGTGCTTGTGCTTTGTCGGGCCCAGAGGTGGGAACGTGTACACGCTGGGCCGAAGAACGTGCATCTTAGGACTTTAAAAGGTCCTGGCACACCGTGTAGCACACTCCATAATGAACTATGTAACTATGGCTATCTATGGCTCAGGTTTCCCATTCTACTAGTGAATACAATCCATCACAATCCACGACTGATTGAAAGACTAATCGTCAAAAGCGCACCACCGTAGAGCAGCAATGAATGAATGACTGACTAGTCCGACTGACTCATCAAAAGTGCACCACATTTATTGCATTTTACTGCTACACACTTAGCATCTCTTGGCTTTTCTCATTCTGTCCGTGTGGTCCCGACGCCACGCCGGGACCCAGCAAGTTCTCGCCCCGCGGGACAGGGAATTGGCAAGACGGCGCTGAGTGTGGAGTTCGTCCACTTCGCAGCGGCTCCTGGGAGACACTTCTCGTAGGGGGGCTCAGGCCAAGCCATGAGAGCTTGGGAGAGTTCGACATGTTTGGGTAAAAGCAAATGTTAGTTAGCCAAAGACATAAGAACAGGGAGCACTTGAGGAGGACTTTGTTGAGAAAAGCCGTTTGACTCAGACCAAACTAGTCGCAAGTGTTCGGGACCCATGGAGTGCATTTCCCAAGTTTGACATCAATCTCGCGTCATTCCTTGGTGGGAGCAGGTGCACGTGCGAAATGTCACTGCAGTCAGACCAAAAATCTGGTGCAGAAGTCATGACCAAGAATTTGGTTGTGGACTCTGTGGACTCCAACTTCACCTCTTCGATTTGTCAAGATGGCACATGGGTATGGCTCCAGTATAAGTACCGACCCAGCACAAGTTGGTGCGGGATGTGCGAGGGTCAGATGCCCGAGAACAGCGGCCCCTCATCTTTGGCTAAATCGACAGCGTGCGATGAACACGATAGGGGAACCACGTAGGTGAAGATTGTAGTATAGGTGGAGTCATTATATAAGTCCACTCGCTTTTCCAAGGTTTTCAGATGATGATGATGATGATGAGGAGGAGGAGGAGGATGATGATGATGATGAAGATCAAGAAGCATTCTATCTTCAGTTCCTTCATTGGCTCTCACGCGTTTGTTGGGGAACCCCACGTCGGAGCACGCCGCCCGAAGACGCAGCGTTTGTCTGCCATTTTTTCCATCCAGGTGTGGTGCACGCATGATGCGCATTGAAGCAATGGACTTGGCCGGTTGGGGCCCAAAGAAGATATCCGTTTTTTTACAGATCATCCGAGGATGAAGAGTTTGGATGCGTTTGGATACGTGATACTTTCTGCTGGGATTTGTTTGATCATGGTTAGATCAACCCCCTATAGTTGAACCCCAAAAGGAAGTTCCAGCGAACGCCTCCCCGCTCGTTGAAGGATTGCTCACTCCAAAGATTCAATTATATGAAAGGGATTGACGCCGCTGCGCTCGATGACCCGTGACGGGGTCAGCCCTTGCGGCGTGAGGTATTGCCAACAGCTTGCAAGAGGAACTCGACAATTTAGCCGCTCAATTAGAGGCCCTTCAGTGTCAAAGTGAAGAGCCCTCGGAAAGACTTAAATAGCGCAAGTGAAGAGAGCGAGGGAGGGAGGAAGGGAGAGAGGGAAAAACGTCGCCACCAGGTCTGTTTACGGCCCAGCACCAGCGATTCAAGGTGCCAAGCCTGCAGGTTGAAGTCTATATAACTATCATCAAGATTATTTTCCTCGGTTTTTGGAGATTGGATGGGACATGCAAGGAGCTCGCTCTGCTCAACTGGCTTATCTGCAAGGCAGAGTTTGGACTTGCACTTTTACTCCAAACAAATTGATGAAGTGTTGCCGGTTTCAGAAGTTACTGTCTTGTCTCAGACCACGCATGTCACCTTTGGTTTATATCATTTTATATCGATGAAACTTAGGCGGCCTGCCTGGCTTTGATTTGTAGCCATTCCTGCTCAAGCTGTACAGAGCAGCGTGGCAATAGCTAGAAGGGTTTTGTTCATCATGTGCCATGCCTTGCTGAATGACAGCCTGATTCAAGAACTCTTCAGCTAGCTTTATCTCTTCTTCAGGCTACAGTAGTTCAAGCACTGTACGATATTCGCAGCGCCAATCGTGCCCATAAGACGCCCGCACAAGCGACGGTGCAACTGGACTGCCGTCCGTGGCAAACACCTAGTAGAGACTTGGCCTGATATTCAAGATCACCGGTGCCTTTCTAGCCGATTTCGAAGTACGCAGACCTCATTCTAAGGTCCACAGATATATAATCGGTTTATGAATCTGTTCGTTCTCATGTTCCATCCACAGTTCTCATCCAGTGACGGGTCTGTTCCGGGTCCGTTTGTCCCGTTGAGTCCGTCTAGCAGAGAATCGAAGCCAACGAAGAGATCCCTGCCCCCGTGATTGATCTTAAAGCCGCACACCACAGCCGTGGTATGCCGTGGTTCATCACTTTGAAATACTTTGAACAGGTTTGAGCCTCTAAGGCAAGCCTTGGTATATATATTATGGTATTATATTGAGCAAGTGTGTTTAATTGTGCTGAAGCAACGGGAGAGCTAATCATACTCGCGACTTTACACGACTATATACTACTATATAATATATATAACTTATATAACTCACTTGCTGTAATTCGACCGAGTCACTATCGAACCACCAAGGAAATGCTGGGTCGTGAACGCGAAAGAACACCAGAAAGCAAAACCCAGACAAAGGATTGACTTCACCTTACTTTTTACACGTGGCTGCTGAGGCACCACCAAAAAGGGAAGCATGTAGACATTGACGCGTAGACCCGTTGCTCACGTCATCTATGATTTGGCCATGCCATTTTCAACACATCCTCCTTCGTGAGTGTTCAGCATCATCATTTCAGCCGCATTCACAATGTACAAAAGACTGCCCACGTTCTCCATCCGAGATGGTAAAGACCTTTTAGTAGCAGGGTCAGCACAACATGGTCCAAAATGGCAACCTTAAAGCCGTCCAAATCCATGAGGTGATGACCAACGGCACAAGTCCGCGAGTGAGCCAGACTGTACCAGTTTGGGGCCGAGACTTGAATAAGATGTATTTTGTTGCAAATGACTGCGGCAGCAAAGGCCATCATGTTGATGCACCCATTTTGTCACACCATGGATGTTTCGGGTGACTGCTTTGGAAGGTGGACACTTTTGCCAGCGAGTGTGACGAGCATGGACTTGTACAGATGGAGGACCGGAGGAGGTTCGCACCGGAAGTAGGTTCGACCTTGTTGTCAAAATTGTGATACAGCTAGAGTTCCTGGTCATTCACTGGGGTTACTCGGTTCACCATGTTTCCTCAGAGTAAAGAATGTTCGACTCGTGCGCAGGCGGGATGCAGGAAGTGAAGGTTTGGGCGTCTTCGTGAAGGCAGGCCATGGGCCCACAGACCACTGGCAAGCACCGAGTACCGAGTCAATCATTTTTGTATGGGACATGAGCCCCTTCAACATGGAACTGATTGTTAGGTGCAGGTGGTTCAGTAAACTTCTTCAGATTCTTCAGGCTACCCAGGGTTGCATTCAAGTGTGCTTTATCACGTTGCCGAGCCAGTTCTACCTACCTGCATTGTCAATCAATCTTGCGTAGGAAGCAGCAACCTGGTACTCGAACATTTGGTGCACAGGCTGACATAGCGGCAGGGAGTAGACTGAGTAGACTAATACAGGTCACAAAATCTCTGCAAACCAGAGACTGGGCATCGGATGTTTTGGCAAAGCATCAAAACCGATCTCCAACACTTTCGCTGACCCGTCCTCGCAACAGAGAAGCACAGGACCCAACAGAGAAGCAAAGTCTCTCGGCCACTTGGACGAATTTCACCGGGGCGAGTTATCCTTTTCACCAGTCCTTTTCACACAACCTTTTTTGGGTGTTATGGCCACCTGAGAGGTCAAACCAAAGACTCTTGGACCTCAGGTAGAAATGGTTGACTCGCAAAAAGCGAGCACCAACACCATTCCCAAAACACCAAGGATCCCTTGTAAAAGCGATTTGGTTTGACCTGCCCAGCTGGAAAGAAATCTGAGGACCTTGAAGACGTCGAGGACGCGGGATCTCCGACATGTGGAATCCCATCGAATCCGTGGAGAGCGGGATTTTTGCACTTGTTACTAGTAGCTTCTTGTTACTACTAGTAAGGCACTTGTTACTAGTAGCGATGCACTTGTTACTAGTAGCTTCTTGCTCCTACCAACCTGAAACTCTCCTGGCAAAGGTGACAGAAGTGGTGACAGATTCGGAACAGGCCTTTTCCGCATGTTAGGAGTGGGAGAAATTGGATCCCACCTCTGACATCCTGGATGCTCGCAGGAAAGCACTTTGGGTAAAGGGTTGCACTGCTTGATGTGAGATGTGGTTGAAACGAGTTGACTCTGAAGGACTTGCCATTCGACAATCATCTACACTCTAGCTTTCCATGATTTTCCATCAGTTTTGCTTGCTTTCCATGATAGTTCCTTCTACATTGTGTGCTAAGGAAGTGGTGAACTCCAAAGAGTTCATTGGGGAACGACCGTTTGAACATCAGCTGCTCGTCTCGAAGCGACGCCGCGGAGAACCAGGGACCAAGCCACGAAGCACTTCGTAGGGAACATCAGAAAACGTCGGAACCTACTAGTCGCAAGAAGCTACTAGTGCAAGCACAGCGGGTCTCGAGGTCTCTCCCTACATGAAGCTAGGCGGACCTAGCCAGAATTTTGGTATTTGGGCTGGCTGCCTTAGAGAAACCATGATCAACCACGTCGAACCAGTCTTTCACAGGGTTTGCTTTCGATTCGTTTGAGGCCAACCCCACCGCCGGGGCTACCTGGCAAGGACTGGAGTTATGCAGTTGTCAAAACGTATAGCAAGAGCTCAACCGCTCAACCACTTTCAGATTAAACTGCTCATTCACATTTTATGTCATGTTTTCCTATATATAGCTGTGTAGTATGTGGGGAACACAAAAACCCATCAAACATCTATTGAAATCTTACTGTAACTATCTCATGTCTTTCCGCTTCGCAGTCGGTGTGGTGCCTTTGATTCCATTGTGCCCTTCTGGACCCTTCCCTCATGTTCATTTCGCCAGGAGGCCATGGATGCATCAAAGACCATCCCACAGGGAGCGTATCAAGATTTCGACTATTATAGCTACGGCTATGGCTCCTTGGCAGCTAAACAAGGTAAACAACACACATCAACACACCGTGAGGGTCCTTGAAACGACCACGCCTCTCAGAAAGAAGAAACTGGGGCTTTGATGGACTCTCAGGACAAGCTCAGGTGCCTGTGCCTTGGAAAAACATAATATGACATGTTGCTGGAAGTAAGACTAACAAGTTGACCATGTCCGTGCAGTTTTGTTTCTCATAGATTGAAGCGGAACGTGGCCAGTAAGAACAGTGATGATTTGAGACTTGCTGTGTCTGTCACTTTATGCAGATTGGCGCTAAGGATGGTCAGGGGATGTATGGCATCTTGGCAGTTCAGTCAAAGGATTTGATTTGGTTCTCCACGAAGTCCCGTGGACTCTTGGGGAGAGACTGTGCCAAATGCAAGGATCCTTCATGTGGCAAACCATGCAGGGATATCCATACTTTGTGCCTCAGATGCATTCCAAGCATTTAGGCTTCTTGGTCTTTTCTTCGCCACTTGAAATGCTGAAGCTTGCTGAAGCACAGTTTGGAAGTGTGTGTTTCGGCCCACGATTGGTCTTGAAGTGAAACATGGCCCCATGGTCATCGCGTCACCTTCCCACCTTTCGCGCCAGGATCAATGGCAAGCCGCATCGAGCTTCATCTCGGCCTTTGGAGGATATGACTTTGTGCCGCCCCGTAGCTGAATCTGTCAACTGAAAAAGGTAAGACACCACCAATGTGATTTGCACCTATGCCATGAAGAACTTATTTTACACGACCCGAAATGTTCCAACACCCACTGGGGGTGGTGGAAGACCTGTTGGGGACTTCTGCCCCGTGGCAGCTGCGGACTCCGCCAGTTGGAGCGTATCCAGTTTTGGCTGCACTGATCAGTTCTCTTAAGTCCTCCACCAGTCTTGGGGTATACTGTAATCTGGAGTGGTGCGCCAGCACAAACGACCACTGAAGAACCTAATCGCATATTCCAACACGAGTTTTTGAAGGGGCGCATGTTGATGGGAGGGTCACTGGCTCATCCAATCCGAGATGAGTTGAGACACCTGGACGGCAAACGCGTCACATTTCAAGAACCTGCGAAGAACACTCCTAGAGGAAGCTAAAAGGAATGGCCTGGCCTCCAACCTACCAGCTGAATGGGCAACTGAAGAATGTAGCGCCATTTCCGTACCTTGCCCAAGGAAATCAGGCAAAAGAGGCCGAGGCCGGAATGCCAAAGTGGGCCGTGCAAGCGTCTGACACAGTTGACGGGTGGGCTTTGTGAGAAGTCACACCTGTACAGCAGACATATTCTTGACAGGCAAGCAAGACATGTGGATTGCAGAAAAGTGGCTGAGCTGCAAATTTTTGGAGCAGAAGCGGGCTTTCGATCTGAAACTGCACCTTGAACATGCATGTATTCATGACCCTTGCTTTTTGAGCTTCCTTGTTTGAATGGTACGGAGTGGAAGTGGTAACAAGACTCATCCCTGCAGACGCACTGAGGGCTAGTACATCTGACAAGAGGCAAGGAACGGACCGGGGAATGACGATATGCTCGGTGGAGATGATTTGAACATCGTCATGCAGAAAGAAAGCAAAAGGTTTGGCAAGACGGAGTGAAAGCCAACTGCTTTCCGACAAACCGATTTAGCATGATTTAGCGATACCTGGTACATCAAGTCCGAGCTTTCTCATGTGCCACGTAGTGGGGATCCTCCCAACGATGTTCGTCTCTTTTCGCCATCTCATGATGCTTGGGATGCTTGTTTTGAGGCATAGATATGACGTTCTTGTGACATTTGAAGTACAGAAAGTCTTATGACGTTTGTTTCCCAAGCCAGTCTTTCCAGCCTACTCGCGGGTTTCTTCGAGGCCTCCAGCCTTGGGAGTTGATGCCAGTGACCCTCGTCGGATTGTTTGGACCTTGGAGAAGGCGAGCCTCACCAGCAGCTCGGCGGCGATGCTCGGTGCGTGTCAACAAACACAGTCGACTGTGCTCATGGCACTGATGGGAGAGAGAGAGAGAGAGGCCATTGGCACTTCGTTTGACGTGTCGAGGTAAGAACAAAGACCGTGAAAAGGCTTGGGCATCCTGAATTGGACAAAAGGAACAAGCAGGGCACGAGTCATGCTTTGAGCAGCATTTCACCGGAAGTGGCCCCTTTGATCCCTGCCGCACAGGTGTCACCATCATTCCGCATTCCCATGGGCGGGCAAGAGGTGGAATTCAAGCTGAATCTCTTCGCAACGTTGCTGGCTCAGAAAAGTGCGGAATTCGTTCATAATGTCATAGCCACTTCTGAATTCAAACTTGCTGAAGGAATCATCTATCTAGACTCCAAAATCTTGCTCATTGCATCTCATTGCCCCATGGGTGAAGTTGGTCACGACTGGTGCGGCTCAGTTTCATCGACTGCCAAGTCCAAGGTCCGTGTCCTCCAACCGTCATTGCGTCGACCTCGACCCCTCCCTCAACCATTGAATGATGCGTGCATTTCAAGATCGAGTGATGAAGAATGGCATGACGGAAGAGACACATCAACAGTCATCAACACATGTGCACACATCTATTCACTTGATACTGACGTAAGAGGCGAAAGCCCACAGTGCTTGTTCTGTATCCAGAATGCCAAGGCTCTTCATTCAAGAAGGCGAAAGGGAAAGGGTATGTGGCCCTTAGCTGCTTGGCAGAAATGCAAGACTGGCCTGATGTTAGATAATGTTAGCTGCCAGCAAGGCACATTATCAGATGGACATGAATTTCATTGAATTTCGGAAAGCAAAGCAGCCATCGTCGGTGGAGCTGAGGATGTGTCCAGAGCATTAATGATTGCACACAACCAACTCTCAAGTTCCGAGTCATTCTGGGAGAAGGACAGTCCATGTTTACATGTTGCTGCAGTGTCTTTTGGCCGAAGCACGGGAACTGCACGCCCATGCTTGCCAATCATGTTTTTCCATGTGCAAGACACTTGATATCCATGAAGCTGCTTGGACATGCATGGATCTCTGCTTGGACATAGCAGCAGGATATTTGCAGGCATCAAGCTTCACTGAACACAACTTTGCAGAGAAGCAGATTTGCACAGTTCCACCAGCTTCCCAGTCTCTCAACAAAGGCAGGACATTTAGGACTTGCACGTGCAAGTCTCCAGTGGTTTTCTAATATTTTGACCTTGGTCCGAGTCCAGGTGAAGAAGAATGGGATTTCTTAAATGCTGATGCGGACAAGCTCACTTTTGTGGTTGTGGCATCCTCAATTCAGCTGAGGGAAACTTCCAACACCTCAGTGGACGCACCTCAGGTTTTGGAGGTGGAACCTGATAACCTTTGACTCCAAGCATCCAGGCGCGAACACAGAAAGCTGACGAAAAGGTCAAACAGATTCAAACAGAGTTCCGAAATTGCTTCTACGGATGATCTGTGTCCACACTGCCGCAGAGGCACGCTTGGAAGACGTGCCACTTGTCTCATAGTGCTCCTTCTGGTATTGGCTGTCATTGGCGCTTCTGAGAAATCTGAGAATCGCTTGGCACCACAACTCAGGCAATCAACGTGACGACCGTAGAACATTGCATGCACTGCTTTCGCTCAGAATGCTCGGGCTGAATTTGGCACCGCGGTCAGACACAGCGTTGCAATATGACCTAATCTCTGGCACGTTGAGAAAGAAGTGCCTTGCTGCCGTGAGCCGCCGTGAGCCGCGGGCACTGCAGTGATGTATCGCAAGTTCTCGATGTTCGTTTGGCAGCGGCAGGTCGGCTGAGTCCAGCATTTCCATTCGCGAAGCTCCAAGCAATCTGGACAGGTTGTGTTGTTTCTTAAGATGTTTATTGTATTATATGTATCGTCATTGTCTACCACCAGATTGAAACAACATTCCATCATACCATACACAAAATAGTCTAGTAGTGCTCTCTCTTTGACACCGTCTATCTCGTAGTGCCCCACAAACCGCAGCAGGACTCGATGACGTTGCTGCTGCCCTTGCGGCAGCGCTTGCGTCGAGGGTGCGGACCTAAAGAGAGACCTTTTGCGGTCACCTTTGCGCGCAGTGCGCAGCGGACAAGCTATTGCTTGAGTGCATCATGTGCTTGGTCAAATAAATTGAAGCTAAGCAGCCCTTGTCATCATGGTGGGTAAACAATTTTCTTCATCTGCAAAGAGACACGCTTGGGGACTTATGCGCGGAAACTTCTTTCGAAGGCTTCATGTGCTTCCACTCCATGCAACAGATCACGTTCCGATATTTTCTTGGTAATTATGTTGGAAAGTACATGACTTCCGTACAGTCACCCACACATGTCTATGTCCGCAAACCTTACAGGCCCAAATCCCCTTTGAAAAGGTGCGCGAGCCGCTTTTCATGCACGTGCACGACGACGCGGCCGACGGCCGCGACCACATCTTCGAGTTGGAAAGGTGTTTGGATTTGTGAGCTGCTGATCCTGGCCTGTTTGGCCGGAGGATTTGCAGTTGGAGGAGCACACCAGGAGATCTGCTATTACCAGAGCGGATCAGGACCTGCCGGTCCTGTGAAGATCAAGAGAAGGACCCTCCACAGTGTCTACGTGGAGGCCGACGAGTACATCGGGAAGCTGAAGTGGCTGAAGAGCGACAGAGCAGCCAAAGCCAGTCTCCTGGTGAGGGAGAAAAGTGGAAAGAAGAAGAAGAAGAGGGATTGCCGTGAGCTCATAGTGATCGTGCCTGCGAGCTGGCAGTTTCTTGACAAGCTAGAGGCAACAAGAGAGGACCTCGAGGAAGGACAAATTGGTGCCTTGGTAAGCCAGTGGAAGTTTTGGGAAGTCCTCAACTACAGCGGCATACCATTCGAGGTTGAACAGGACGGTGCACACCTTACCTCCAGGTGCTACTATCCAAAGGCAGTGCAACTGCGAAGGATGGCAGAGGATAGTTTGAAGCTGGTGGCAGCAGCTTTGGAAAAGTTGAGTGTGAACCAGGCCTCACAATCCTGGTTGAGGCATTTGAAGCCTCCTGACGTGTTCAAACCGGACACGAGAGACAATGAGTTGAAGATGTGGAGTGATTGGAAGTTTGCATTTTGCAGCTACATCCGAGGAATAGATCCAGCAATGGCAGCAGCCATGGATGTGGTGGAAAAGAAGATCAACAGTGACTACACCCTCGATGATATGACCGATGACATGAAGACGATGTCAGTGAGGTTATACAGTGTGCTCACATCATACCTTCGAAACCGCCCTCTGAAACTGGTGAAGCACATCAAGCAGGAGAATGGATTTGGTGCGTGGCAGTTGTTGTTAAAAGAGATGCAACCGGCAACAAGGGCAAGAAGCCTTGCATTGCTCACACAGCTGTCAAGGGTGCAATTTGCTGAAGGGAAGTATGAAGCAATTGTCACTGAGTATGAGCGCATCAGTGGACACGTCTATGCTGACGATGCGAAAGTGGCCTCAATCCTGCAAGGATGCCCTGCCTACATGAAGCAACATCTTCAGTTGTGGGTCGATGACAGTACGACATACGACTCATTGAAGGCGAAGGTGATGCAGCTGGAGTCGCTTTCTACACGATGGGATGCGAGCAACAGCCTGTCTCTGCCGACCAGGGCAGGCGCAGATGAGAGCACACCCATGGAAGTGGACTACATCGGGAAGTCCAGCGACAAAGGAAAGAGAGGAGGAAAGAAAGGAAAGGATGGAAAAGGCAAAGCAAAAGGTAAGGACAAAGGAAAGTCGAAACAAGAAGGCAAAAGATTATGGAAGTCCTTTGACAAGGGCAAAAGTGCTTGGGAGAAAGGACAAGGGAAGAAAGGCAAGAATGCTGAGAAAGGGACAAAAGGCAAGACAGGAGGATGCTTCATTTGTGGCAAACAAGGCCACATGGCGAAGGAGTGTTGGAAGCGCGTGCAACAGGTAGAAGAAAATCCTGGTGGGGCAGCAAGCTCATCGTCAGGACAAGCTACAGCAGTAAGAGAGACCACGCAGGTGAAGATGGTGAGAGTTGAGGACCAGGCCACGGAGATCTTTGACCTTACGCAGTATGAAGAGGTTGTCGAAGAAATTCAGCATCCTTGGAGAGTGAATGCAGTCTATGAGGAGCCCAGCGAAGAGGAGTTCTTTGACTGCCGAGAGCCTGTTGTGTGGACACCCAGTCACGTTCCGGTGATTGCAATGGACATGCAAATGCATGAGGGAGAAGGAAAAGGAGCCAAGTTCATCCAGATGGTGAAAGTGGAAGCGGTCATCCAGGACAGCTGTCTAGTCACGCTGGACAGTGGTGCAGATGTTTCAGTCCTACCACTACGCTATGGAGAAGTGGGGACTTGGCGGCCAGGTTCAGAAAAGTTGAAGATGGTGGACGCACAAGGCACAAAGATAGCCCATCAGGGGCTGACAAAGGCAAAGATCAAGATTGAGGATAGTGAAGGGAAGGACATCGAGTTGATAGAAGAGTTCGTGTTGGGGAACGTCCAACACCCCATACTGTGCGCTGGTCGACTCCTGAGAAAAGGTTGGAGCATCTCAGGAGGAAGTGATGGAAAGATGTTCCTGTTCCACGAGGAGCGGAATCTGAAGATTCCAATCAACACAGAAAGGAATTCCCTTCAGTTCGAGGCTAGGATCTTTGGCGTTGAAGTGGAGGAACAGAGCAAGAAGGTCAGCCAGAAGGAGGACTGTGCGAGAGTGTGTGTGCTTAGAGGTTTCCTGAGCAAGTATGTGGAGGAGATCGAACTGTCCCCAGGGTGGCACCGGCTACCGAACGGAGTCATCGTATACAGCGACCCCGTCGCTATCAGGCTGGCAGATGCAAGGCAAAGTGTTGATGGAGAGTGGAGAGCAAGAATGACACTCATGAAGGACAAGGATGGTATGTGGAGGCAGCTAGAAAATGTTGAAGACTATATCAGTCTTGGCGACAAAGCCTTCAGGAGGGTTACCACAGATCAAAACCCTCAGAGAACCCTGAGTTTCTTCTCCCCGAGTCGCCTGAAAGACTACTGGGAGCAAGATGCCGAAGTCCCGACGTTCCCATACCCTGAGCCAGAAGGTGAGATCAAACACCATGAATGGTCGGAAGAAGAACAAGAAGATCCAGAGGAGCTGGAGGAGAAATGGGAAGCCCAAGACATCGAAAAGATGGTCCTAGCAGAGAAGACGGATGAGGTTGAACTTGATGAGGTGGTATTCAATGAAAAGTCATCAGTCAAAGAGCTGCAGTTGGCATGTACAGAAAGAGGTCTGCCATATACAGGGAGCAAGAAAAGGATATTAGCCCGCCTGATCGCGTTCAAGATTGACTTGGAGAACAAATTGCAGCTGAGCATTGCCAACAAGCTTTTCAAAGAAAACCAGAGGAAGCCCATGACGCTAGGACAACCAAAGCTTCCGTCATTGAAGGAACAAGAATTGCACTTCGTCACTCATTGGCCGTACGCTCCATGGTGCCAAGCATGCATGGCAAGTCGGGCAAAGGAAGACAAGCGCATCTCCGAGAAGAAGAAACCAGAACTGGGAAAGAATGTCATCGAGCTGGACTTCTTCTACACGTACACGGGTGAAGAAAGGAGGATGGAAGACCAGAAGGCTCCAGATAAAGTGCAAGAGAGGCAAGACCAGTTTGGTACATGTCTCATTATGGCATCGAGCGAAACGAAAGCGATCCATGTTGTACCAGTTCAAAGCAAAGGCACTGCAAGTCTTAAGCACATCACAGAGGAAGTCATCAGGTTCACATTGGAAAATGCCTCGAGAGATGCATGCATTTCGCAGGCCGACTCCGAGAGGGCAACACGACAGATTTTGAGAGCAGTGCAACAAGTCAGAAAGGTGATGTGCCTGGAAACAGAGATAAGGTTGACAGGACCAGGCCAACATCAATCAAATGGATTGGCTGAGAGAGCGGTGCAAACAGTGAGGCGCTTGGCAAACTGCCTGAGAGCATTTGCAGGTGACAAGGCAAACATCGACATTCTGGGCAACTTTCACCTGTACCCGTGGGCATTCAAACATGCAGCTTTCCTGATCAACAGGTTTCGAGTTTTGGAAGGAACAGGAAAGACATCATACGAACTGGGCACAGGTCACAGTTACAGAGGGAAGCTGGCATTGTTCGGTGAAAGTGTGATGTTCAAGCGAGTGGTGAGAAACAAAGGTTCAGATGGCTTCATCAGAGGCATATGGTGTGGAAAGCATGTGTGGAATGACATGCGCATCGTCCTCACGCCCGAAGGTGCCTACGAAGCCAGGACAATCAGAAGGTTGGCTGCAGAACAGTCATTCAATGCCCTGGAGATGGTGATTGCAAAAGGATTACCGTGGAATTACTCCCCTCAAGGAATTCTCATGAAAAGGATCGTGGGTAGACAACAGAGAAATCCCACAGTTGAAGCAGACATCAACCCAGATGAGCTTGAGGAGATGTCAAAGACGGTTGCTGCAGGGTTGGTCACACCAGCACCGGGTTTGGCCGCACAACCAAAGACACCAGTCGGGGTATTCGCAGCACCAGGAACACCAGCACAAATTGGAGAGGCGAATGCTGGATTGAAGAGAAGTGCAGAAAGACAGCAAGAAGAAGAGGCTGAAGTAAAAAGACAGGACACGACAGAATCGCCAAGAAAGATGGTGACAAAGAGAGGAGGTGCAGAGGATGAGCAAACAGAAGAGAAGAGACAGAGGACAGGTTCAGAGGAATCAGTTGAGATGGAAGAGAAGAAGGAGAAGCCAAACAAAGAAACAGAACATGAAGCAGAGGGGTCTCCGAGCATGAAGAAATCAAGGTTGTACCCACCGCACTATGCAGGTATAGAAGCCGTGGAAGTACATGGAGACGAAGAAGCAGGACTGGACTACATGCCTGAAGACATCACGGAGGAGCACATGGGATATGGAGGTGAAGAAGATGAAAATCCTCCAGAAATGTCAGAGGAGGAGATTGAAGTCCTGGACGAAGAAGCAAAAGAGAAGGAAATTGAGAGAATGCTGAAGTTACCAGCAATGCAAGAATCAAAGGAAGAGGACGTGGCAAAAGAGAATGGATACATCATCAGCACCAAGATGGTTATCACATGGAAACACAGGCTGGAACAAGGAGGATGGTTCCGGCGTGCTCGATTGGTGGCACGACAATTCAAAAGCAGTGTGGCAATGGAACAGACATTTGCACCGACATCACTCATGATCATCCCAAAGATGATGATTCATTTGTGGATCAACTGCTTCAGCAACTATACAGGGATGACGCTTGACATCAAGGACGCCTTTCTGATGTCCCCACAACCACAAGACGAGAAGGCATATGTGAGGATTGGAGAGAAGGTGTACAAATTGTTGAAGTGCCTTCCTGGACAGCGGACAGCAGCAGCACAATGGTTTCAGCTGTTTGCAAATGGCTGCAAGGAATTTGGCATGAAACAAGATCAGATGCAGCCTACGCTTTTCATCAAGCACGGAGAAATGATGCTGACAGTACACGTTGATGACGTTTTCATGATAGGGAAAGAGTCTGTCCTTTTGAGGTTTGTCAATTTCCTCAAAGAGAAGAAAGGATGGAAGGTGGAAGAGAAGGGGCCATTCCAAGCAGGAGGAAAGTTTTTCTACTTGAAGAGGCAATTCAATGTGGCCCGTGAATATGTGGACATCAGGTGCGACAGGAAACAATATGATGGCCTCGAGAAGGAGATGGACCTGTTCAAGAAAGCATACAGAAAGACTCCAATGGATCAAAATGCCATCAAGAAGGATGAGTCATCACTCCTAGAGGACAGTGATATCACAAAATACCGGAGTGTTGTGGGAAGACTCATGTACATGGCCAGCGAGAGACCGGATGCACAATTTGCCATACAGTCACTGGCAAAGAAGATGGCAGCACCAACGCAAGAAGCATGGAGGAGAGCTTGGCATCTCTGCTCATACCTATATGGTACCATAGATTTTGGAGTTCGCCTCAGCAGAAGGGAGAAGGGTCGATCAATGCTTGACCCAAGAGAAGATGAAGAGGTAGATCCAGAAGAATTTCATTTGCTGGAGGTGGTCACAGATTCGGACTACGCTGGAAGCAGAGAAGACAGAAAGTCAACGTCTTCATTCCAGATCTACATAGATGGCAACCTCATCGAAAGCAGAGTCAGAAGCCAGAAAGCAATAGCACTATCTTCTGGAGAGGCCGAATTTGTCTCAGTCGTGGCAGGATGCTCAGACGGCATGCTGATCAAGCACCTGTGGCAAGAGATGTCAGGAGAAGAGTGCAAAATGAAGGTGAGATCCGATAGCAGTGCAGCAAGGGCAATGGTGCAGAGGCAAGGCATCGGCCGTGTGAGGCACCTAGATGCCTCGTTGCTTTGGGCGCAGCAGAAGGAAAAGGATAAGGTGATGAGCATAGCTGCAATTCCAACAGAACTCAATTGTGCTGATGTCGGCACCAAAAGCCTCGCGAAGAAGAGACTCTTCGGACTGCTCTACATGATGAAGGTGATCAACGCCATCGGAGACAGAGTTGGACGAGAGGAATACAGAGAGATAGAATACCAATATCAGATCAAGAGAGGCACAAAGAAGCTGATGAAAGGAGGAAAAGACTTACGTGTGGGACTTTTGCTGCTGATGGCAAGCTTGGACACAGTGGCGGGAGAGCAAGTGAACTACGAGACTGAGCCCAATGCGTACAAGTTCGAATGGTGGGCACTCATTTTGTGTGCCTTGATCGGGGCCTTGAGCGTGATGCAGTGGCTTCGGTGCATGGTGGAAAAGTTCTTTGAGAACATGCTCACCAAGGAAAAGACAAATGAAGTGGCAAACGAGGATGAGAATGCAAAGAAGCAGAAGTCAGGACATGACCAAGAAACTCAAGTGATCCAAAGGCTGGATTGCAGCCTATGGAGGAAGTATGAGGAGCAAATCAAAGATCTAGAAGACCAGAAAGATGACCTACAACAGGAGCTGCTGCGGGCTGAAGGAATGATCGAAGATTTGAGAGTGGATTTGCAAATGGCCCGAGTGCAGCGAGAAGAAAACTTTCAAATGTACCAGTTGGTAGAGAAGAGGTCTACCAAGTTTGAGAAGAAATGTTTGAATTTTCGAAAGTGTGGAAGCAGCAAAGTGATTCACTTCATGGAGAGCTGCCCACACTGGTCAAAGGGCGAATGCCTAGATTTCTGCAAGATATGTGTGGGTGAAGAGGCCGTGTTGGAAAGTACATGACTTCCGTAACCTTACAGGCCCAAATCCCCTTTGAAAAGGTGCGCGAGCCGCTTTTCAAATTATATATCTATAATTATATAGTGAGTAGTGCAGTGTACACTCTGTGCACCGCCTTGTCATCATGG